TAGGGTTCGAGCCCACCCAGTCTTGCAGTAGCACTTTACACTTTGCAGGTGTGAAGCGCATACCAAACCGCGAGGCAGAATTATTTATATTATTTAGTATTGTTTGCAATGCCACGGGGTCAGATCCTAGAAGAGCTATGTCGTCTGCGTACTCGATGTCTGTGAGCGGAGGCCCAGGGAGCACTTCGACCCCACAGGCACCTCTGGTGATCCAGAGTCTGCTGCGCCGGGATGTGCAGGGGTTGGTATCGTCCTACGTCACCGGGAGGAAAGTTCCTTGATACCTGTTGATAGTCACCTCTGTGCGGTTCGTCTGGCAACGTTTATGAAGGAGTCTCATAAGCGTGAAGCTGACCGCCGTCTGTTCATTGTGTCTGTCTGCGCCCCAACTGACTGTAGCTCTGACGACGTCAAAGACAAGTTTTGCGACGCCCTGAATGCTCTGTTGCGGCGAGCTAAAAGCTCAGACGTCATGATCGTTGCCAGAGATATGAATACGCAAGTGGACAGGCTAAGCGTATCTGAAACTCGGTTAGGAGGTCGATATGCAATGGAATCGGTACGTACGGACAGTGGAGGACGGTTGCTTCATCTATTGGCCTATAACATTCACGTGCAAAACCAACGTCGAACTTGCGTTGCTAAATAGGGTGAAATATGACGCAGTGTGCTCCAAACTAGAAACTTTAATGTCAGGCTGGAGTGAAGCAGTCAGTTCTATTTGCAGGATGCCAGCCATCTTCTGCGTTTGGCTTTTTACTTTGAAGTCTTGGATTCGCTTATACGACGATGAATAGATCTGACGCTTTTAGATGGAACACTGTGCACACCGATTCCTTGCTAATTGATGGAAAATGTTTTAATGAGTTAGCCCATTCTAGAAGACAGTGGGATCCCGTGCTCAAGTATCCAAGGTTGATGGTGCGGCATATGAGAGTCTAGCCGCAACACCATTCAGCAGAGCATATTCTGAAAAAAGTGGGCGTATGGGCAACTGCGACGTATGCACAATGTGACTAGTAAGGTAAGATTTCTATAGAAGATAAAGTTTGAACTGAAAATATCTGTGGCCTTTTAAGTTGCGGTATATCATAGATTCGGATGTATATTCGACCACATTTTACCCTACAGTTCAACAAGCCACCTTCCAAAAAAGGACAATCCCGCGCCGTTCTGTGCATGTGGTCTTTGCTCGGGGAGAGGAGGCTACTTGCTAACATGGTGAAAATGGACGAATACATTGGAAATTATAAGGACAAACAAACTAAACAGTGCCATTTGAAATTTGATGACGTATCAGTACTTAACCCTGCGAGAGAGCTCTCTGAAGGGGTTAATGGGCAGTACACTACGGTGATCTTGTGGATTCTAACAACAGGCAACAATCTATTATGGACGTGCCGTATAAAACCAATATCAGTTGGGACCGTAAATGAAGATGGATCCTGTGGAACATACTTCAAGGTGTATTCATCCTTGGTCGCATTTTTCGAAGAGGTACCCTGGAGAGAGCCTGATTTCCCAGTGGACTTGACAGTACTGGCCGTGTTAGTGGGATTGGTAGTAGAGACTGAAGACTTTGCCATAGAAGAGCTGTTCGCCAAATCAGTTCCACCTGTGGTCGATTGTTTGGCTTCGTTTAGCCTTTCGCCAAGCGTACTGAGTACAGACCGACTAGGGTGACCCGTGACAAACAGGGAGGACGAGGATGATGAAGAGCAAGTTGACGATGATGAAGAGGTCGACGTCGTGGAGCTAACAGAAGACGGCGCCTTGGGAGCTTGGATTGTTTGACCATTTTGTTCGGAATCACCCAATTGATGCCCAGACGCTTGGTCATCGAAAGAGAATTCCAAATCAATTTGGTCAGCAGTGCGCCACAAGGTATTAGGGGACGCAGCGATTGTGTCATCGGATTTTTCAACATTGTCTGTCTCAGAAAGAGCAATCTGCGACTTGGGTTTAAAAAAAAACACAGTATGATCAGGTTATTACGGTAAGCGTATAATTCCAGCACTTCACTGTTATCGTTTCAGATGAGTAGCTATTCAGTCAAAGTACGCGTTTCGACGGGAGGTTTTGCGCGTGGTAATTATACAGAAAGCACTTCAGAAGATCAAATTTTCGTCAAGGAACTTGGGAAATCAAGTGTCAACATCTAAGTAAGATGATACTTCAGAAACTAAAATAGTGCGGTTAAACGAACTTACCGGGCTACCGGTGATAAGAAGGACACTGAGAAATAACCATCTTAATACCTGAAACTAATGAGGAAAAAGTGCGAGTCCAAGCGAGAGTGATGGTACGGCCTCGTTAGGCTATCCTATGCATCACAAACATTCAGTTTCGTGAGAATTCTGAAACGATCATCTGACGTCTAGTGTGAGCGTAGAAATTGTTGAGATGAGGTACATTTGGGAACCTAATTGGAAATATTTCCTTCATATTTCTTACCGAAATTCGTCAACTTGTATGGTAGCTTCTAGGTCAGTTTGGCCGTTATTCTGTTGTCAACCTTTGCGGAAATAAACAATAAACTGGACTTCTTGGAGGAAGGTACCTTCCGACGCAATAAAGTCATATTCCTGAGAAGGTAGCGCTCCTTCTGCTTGACTGATGAGCATGTGCAAGGTGTTTTGGCTGTACCTTGTTAACCTAAAAACCACGCTTTCCATCGTCAATGTAGTCCTGCCGCGATGACCTGGATAAAACGAATGCCCTAAGTGTCACTCCCATCAAGGGGAAATATAATAACGGCTAACTCAGATCACTGTTGGACTCTTTTTTATCAGTCGTACTGCAGACAGCTGAGCAAATTATCGTGTTTGTTTCGTGAACAGTTCTTCAGATGAGCATCTGCAATCAGTATTGCGGTAATACAACTGGAAAGTTATCATTATAAGCGGAGCTAGGCAGTGTCGATTCCTGAAATCCAGTATTGCTGTTCCGATTCAGGAACACTTCGGTGAAAATATTAACTGAAACCACTCGTGGCCTAGTAGATGGCATCCTGACAGTGCCTGTCAAACACCCGTCGGGTAAAAATGACAGTTTATAGCCCGTCCCTAGTGTTTCAGCTAAGTCTACGGTTACTTAAGAGGGCCGGCTCAGAATGAACGAACGAGCATTGATTACCCTCTATAGAAAAGTAATCTTCATGACAAACCCTAGTACAGAAGTCCAAAACCACAGAGACCGTCTGTTAGGTGTGCTCCTAACCAATGGAAGTGAATGGAACAGTACGTGAGTTCATACACAGAAAAGGTGTTAATTAATTTGCAGTAAAGTGAGCGGTTTTATTGAGAACGGCAAGTGGGATTATAATGATCTCCTAAATTAGTTCAGCCGGAAAATTTTCGATGGGAATTTGATGAAAAGCCTGACTGAAATTACAGAAGTGGTCAAATGTTTGCTCTGACTTTAGGGTATACACATGTTCACTAAAACCCGAGCTTGAGCACAGATAAGTCGATCAGCAGCCTGAGCAACTACCTGTAGGAGTGACCACCAAAAGCTTGGCCAGCCGGTACACAACTAATCTCCCAAATGTGTACTCACATAACTTAGGAGTTGAAGTGCCTCTGAAAAACATGCACAGCCCTGAATGTTAGGCGCAACAGAAAACTGGCACAGGAGAGGGCAAAAAACGCCCTATTTCGAAGGTCATTGCTCATAAACTTCGCACATGTGGCACGACGGTGTCAGCTGATACGGAGGGTTTTTGAACGAATGACAACAATGAAAACAGCAGTCACGCTAACGGGTGGAGCTCGCAATAATAGAATGAGTAGATGACCGGAGAACAAGCAGAAGTCGCTGCGCACCTATGTGCCTTGTCCACCGCGATCGACATGATCAAAAATAAGCTGCTGCACGATAAAATAAAACATTTTTTGCGTTAAGATGATGCTCGAAAGGAGACCAGTTGAAGTATTCGATTACTATATTTGACTACCTACACTAACGTGGGGCTCATTGCTTCATCGAGCACCTCATAACTGTGCAAACAAGTAACCTGCACACACTAGCAATTTGAACACTATTGTCGAGGCAAGAATGCAGCAGTAGAGCCCATCTCAGGCGTGTTGAAGCGCCAACGTCTGCTCGCATCTTTAGTCATTAAACAGCTGGCCATCGACATCGCAACAGTCCCCTCGTACGGAAGGACTAACAGGCAAGGTGGAAACAGGTTTCATGGGTCTGCGAAGAGTTACGTTATTTAAGCTGACTGCCTCTTGTTCGAGGATGTACCGAGGACCTTCTACGGGAGTGGGTACAACCAGGGAGGGAACCAGAATGAATATCGTGGCGGTTGTGCATGGTTAAACTCAACCCTTCAACGCGTTGGAATTTGGTTTACAAAACAGTGGTTTCGGTTAGCCATGAGGATTTGTGAGATGCACATCAACCTCCTCTAGAGGGTAACAAACAGCTGTACATTATTCCTCGACAAAGTCGTATTTAGATTGTTGAAAGGAAATCCGGAGAACAACGCTACAATATGTAGTAAACGGTCGGATAGGGAGCAATGTTCCGCAACAGACTACTAAGTAAGACTTTAAAAAATGTTTTAGAAAAATGGGCGAGAAATTAGCTCCGAAACAACTACTTAATATAAACTACACAAAATCTATTAATAAAAACTCGATACGCAAATGTAAGTATTCTGATCAACGACATCACCTGGGTTATCGAAAGTCTAGGCTATAAAAACTCACCGATATGGATTCTGGGAGTGCTAAGTTGCCCAAATGTGTAGAATCATTGTGTTGGGCGAATACCACCGGTCGATTGCTCCCTTCTGTTACCGGGGGCCGAAGAACGTCCGGAGAGCAACTCGACAAGGACGATAAATTCGGATCTAATTTGAGGCCACCAGATGCCTGCTTTCGGCCGCTAGGGGCTGACACGCCAACCTTGTCTTTGCTGCTTACTGAGCGATTCGTAGACGGCAGTATGCTACTGCTGGCTGGCAGAGCAGGTCGGACATCTGGAGGACTGGGTAGGCTTCGGTTCGACTTTGGAGACGATCCATCTGAAAAGGTTGACCGAGATTGTGAAGTTTGTTCGGGAGTATTTTTTTGTAAGCATACACAATCAGTGTAAGGAAACTAGACAGGACGCTCATTATTTCAACTATTTCTCCTGGGAACGCTTAAAGTGAATGCTGCCAGAAAATTAACTAAACCATTCGAATCGTGTCTTCCAGGAAACATTCACCAAGAGTCCTTTGGCAGACATAAAAAGATGATACCAGACCCCTACTAAGATAGCGAGTTGCTTTTCAAGCGAAATAACTAAGCCTGTTGTTATAATCGTAAAGGTAAAAGTAAGTGTCTGCCTGCAGTAGGTAATACTTCCTCTGAAACGATAAATTTTCAATACAGTACTCGCCCTTCATAAAAAACACCACATCATATCGTTTATAAGAAGTGTCGTTGCAAATTTGAGGCACGAACCACTTCAAGGGTCTGTTCAAAACTAAGTCGCCACTAAAGAAAAGGCCATAAAAATTATTTTCTAACCACTACAGGTTGCAAGGCACTTAGGAAAAATCGCAAGGGTCATTAAATAAATCTACCCCTAGCAGTCGAGGAAGAAGACAGCCAAGGCCGCCTTTTCACACTTTTGTTCAAACTGGGTAGACCTTGTTTAGTTGCGAGGAAAAACATTTCTCCGAGTGAATTATGTTCTGGATATTTGGACTGATGTCTCCTTGGACTTGGGCTTTGTGCAATACCGGATGATTGCTAACAACTTACGCGGCTGCGATTTTCCGGCCAGCCCAACTTTCCAGTGGATCAGTCAATAAAGTTACCTTACGGATGCAATTGTTTGATTTGTGTTCAACATCTGAGGGTCGGTTTTCGTATGTTAACCTGTTTTGGACTGTCGGAATTTGGTTCATTTTGTTCTGTTTAGCAAGCGAATTAAAGGGCACGAATGAAACAGTCTGACGTCCCTGAAGTGACTGTTTGCATCCGCCTGAGTTGCTCTGGGTGGATGAACTAATACCCGTGCACATACTAGCGCGAAAAATGCACGTTACCACAAAAATGAGTGGCGAAAGATTCTCTTCGGATGATTGATACACAAGGTAGAACATTTAGGAACACGTTCCATCAAGAGTCTTTTTATATAAGTCTCCCATTGAGAGGTGCCGTAAAAATAATCCTCTCTACAGGAAACAATATACAGAATCACCTCACCTGTGCAAACTGAAGGTTCAATCCTAAGTGAGTCCACAGTTCAACAAGGATATACAATTTTTTCATCCCCGCCCCCTAAGGTTGAACACAGAGATTTTAAATGTCACTACTAAATGAGTGCACTGTGCCAATGTGATTACGAATGAAGGTTACACCTTTCAAATTGCCCTGAGAACATAAATCCCGGTTGAACAATTTCTTGATGCATTCATTCTCACTTTGCCACATTGACAGTGGTCAATAACGTGTGAATGTACAAACTTTGGACGTTTTGCTGGGACGCGAAATCTCCGAGTTTTTTTTTCGCGAAAGACAAACAGTCTCACAAAAAGAGCACACCGTCGTCATTTCAAAGATTGGATTGGATTGGGTGGGTAGCGTAAGGCCGATTGCGATTTCTCCAACAAACCAAATGAGGTCGAGGAAACAGACGAAAACCCAAGTAGCAGGGTTAAGTTGGAAGCACAGACCTTCTGGTAAGTTCACGTCTTAACCACTGAGCTATCTTGGGCTCGAAAAGGTACACAGTAGTAGTAGAGTCAAAAGACCACACGCAAAAACATGCGGACAGAGGGAACGCAACATTACACAATTGAACTAAGACCGACAAGTTCACTTCATTTATTAGAAAACGTTCTTTCAGCTGGTTGAAGACCGGTAACCAAACTCATGGGTTTGAAGCGGCGGCGTGGTGGTGGCAGTGTCAACTGTTCGACGGGTCGTGGTCATGCAGCGTCATTGCAGAAAACGACAGGATTTATGTGGAATAAGCTACTTCTAGCTTTAGCGTTCGACCATACAATATGTGTCGATAGGAGACAGGGACTCAGAAGTAGCTTTTTCTAACGCAACAACTTGGAAGTGACAGTGTTAAGTTTGTCATCGGATAGCGTTTCTCCACGTTAAATGTACATTCATTTGGAGACAAAACAAAAATAAACTTATTTGTTGCATAGCAATCTTGGCCAGTGAAAAAGTACCGCATATAGTCCGAAAATACGAATACCTTTTTTAGTATAGCTGGGCAGTTTTGCTGTTGAAAAGTATTGTCATACTTCGGTCTTGAAAATATTTGGAATCGGCGCTGATATGGTGAGGAAGCTAGAAATGAAGTCTCCGAAGTTATATCCACGACAAACATCTCCCTTTTTATCTGGCAAGCTCTAGAGTGGATCTTCAGTGAAGCACCTAGGAAACTTGAGGGTTGGCGTTCAGTACACCACAACATGCATTTACACGAATTTTAGCTGGGTAACAAACGAACACACACACGCACCAAAAGAGAACTTTGCAAGGACTTCAAACAGATTATTTCCGTAAGCTTCCTACACCATAACTCGAACATGCCTATTGCAGCCCAGTTTTGTGATGCTACCAGCGTGTCCAGAAAGCTGAATTTGAACTTGATCATGCTTTGGGATTACTTCTAGACTCGATTTCGATGTGTTAGGTGACCCACACACCCAACGTATCACCGAGAATCCTTTAATAGTTTTTTTCACCAATCTAGCAACATTCTCATTAGGTTATCTGACGGTAAAAAAATGTATGCACGAAAAGTTCCGGGTCCTCGTTCATGAGTACATGTAACTTTGGAGGATATACGGGTTCAGTTTTTTTAGCAGTCTCGTCTGCCGCCCTTGGAGAGGACACTAGGCAGCTTCTAGCCAGCTATCTGATGTATTCTACAGTAATGTGACCAGCCCACACTGACGACGTGTTCCCGAATGGTAACGAAACGTCCGTAAGCCAATCACCAAGCTTGCAATATTTCACCACATCCCCGGGGAAGATGAAAAAATCTCTTTGACATGGAGAAACCTTATTTACCGCAAAAGAAAAGGGATGAGGAACGTCCAATTCTGCAAATTCTCAAAACACCCAAAGGAATAAGCAATTTCATTGAAAGCCTTCGTTTCCTGGACCATTATTAGTGACCAGTCAGGTGCAAAATCTCATCTAAGTGGTTCAGTTCGCCATTAAGCGTGTCAACAGAACAGGTCCGTCTTGCCGTGTTGTATAATCATTAAACCGTGTTTATAGGCGGTCAACTTACAAAATACAAGTTCCCTTCCGTTTACGTCGGCAAACAGACAAGGGTAGTGTGCACTATTTTGGTAACCAAGATACAATAAAAAACGAACCAGCAATGGGGTGAACTTGTACAACCAATTACGAAGATACTTCTGTGCTTTTTACGGTAGGTAGACAATTCTAATCGGCGTTGTTGGTGTTCTGGTCTATCCAGCTTAGTATATCCATTACGACCTAAAAATAGGCAAATAAGGATGGAACAGATAGGTTGTCGTCGTTCAGAGGAGGGAGAGATCTATCGTTCGCGAGTGACGCCTTTATCCGCATGTTCGTGTTAGAAGGAAGAGTGTTGAAGAGATAGTCATTCGATAGAATGACATCTGTAAATCGGACTGTTTACCGAACTAAAAGAAATTACTTCCACATTATCCCCTTTCTTCACGTTCCACACTGGATTATGCCAATGTGCACTGGTACGATCATTCATAAATGAAAGTTGTGCCCAGTAGTTGTTGCCGTCATTGACCATGGCCGTGCTGAAGCTGGGCTTATCCAGCTTCCAGTTTCGAATCAATCAATATGAGAGCAATGTCAGATGAGGACAACGAGGACAATTAGAGAGTGACTTTTGTAAACGAAAAACGTGAAATTCTCACACACCACATGTTTTGTTGGACTGCTGCGTGTGCTAATCGAACGGATGTAGATTAACATCAAATACGAGTTGGTCTAATAATAGAACTGTCGTAAAACCGAAACTCTACAATAAACCAAAATCTGTCGAATAATAACTCCCAGGTGTAGGGAACACAGTTACAGCAGAACATTCGGTTTTACTTCGCTGTACCGACCAGTTCACACACTGATTCCCTAAAATTGTTGCCGGGGCTAAACTTAAGACAAAAAATCAATGTTCACAAATCTTTAATAGTTCAGCATGGGGAGTAACCAGCCGCACATAGCGATGGCGATGTGAGTAGGAAGGTCATCACTAGCTCGGGGTCAGCTTACTTTGAACAAGGGTCGCAGGACTTGACAAAACATAAGCAAAATATGAACCTGGAGAAAACGGACGGTTGAACAGGGGCACACCAACAATTTAAGGATACTTTGATGAAAACCGAAGGGTTGTGAAGTACTGAGACCATACTAATGAGCACAGCGCTGGTGTGGAAGTAAGCAAGCAAGCAAGAATTAACAAGACAAATTGGCCGTCCAAATACCAGTCGCAGAGGAATACTAGAACAATTCTTTTTTTGAGGAAATGGCCTGCTCATGTAGTCATGACGTACAGAAAAGATACTGTGGAAGAACACACCACTGGTTCCAAGGCCTAAAAGCAATCGTGGGCTTGTCGAGACCCCTGAAGCAGTGTTTACGTCCAGCCTTGTCAATATTGCAGAGCTGATGATCAAGCCAGGCAGAATTACTCGAAAACTTTGGAGAAATTCGATCGATACACACCTTTGAAAGTCTTAAAATCCGCAGTGGTAAAAACTTCTCTGAACGCCAGTGCCAACAGACTGTAATGAGTAATAAAGTAAACGTCTGGGTAAAACTTCTGTCTGGGAACTTGGTTCCAACTCTTTTCACGCGGTGTGCTAAAAAGCGTTCAGCTGTAGCACCCTTCCGGTGCCAGCTGCCATGTCTGGGTAAAACTTCTGTCTGGGAACTTGGTTCCAACTCTTTTCACGCGGTGTGCTAAAAAGCGTTCAGCTGTAGCACCCTTCCGGTGCCTAGCTGCCATGCCACCCGAAGGGAGCACGAGGGCTGGGATACTGCCAGGTTGCCCAAGCCTAGACAGGGGAAGTCGAGTGGCGGAGGTCGGATTCGAACCGCGGACCTTCAGGTTAGTAAATCCGCGCTCTAACCACTTCGGCCATCTCGCCCCGGTGTGCTAAAGTGGACAATCCGTCTGATCCATGCAAGAAACAAGGAGAGCACCGAGTAAATAATGCATAGGACTTACCTGTCTTAAGGTACTGGCGCAATTCTTTGGGAAGTGCCTCCTCAAGTAGTGCAAAGAACGTCGCGTTTTGTGTTTCCACCGACCGTTGCCTTCGCTGTGATAGAAATCAAACAAGTTGATCATGAAGCCCAAGTGCGGTAGATTTTTCAAAAGAGAAGTGGGAAAACCAACTTATATCACGTGGCAGCATGCGAAGGCCATATGGACAGACTCGGGCACAGGATTAATCAAAGGATCCGGAATCCGGTACATTCGTTGTGCCCAATACTTTCGTCCCGACTGAGACTGAAAGCACGTTCTGCTGGAGAAGTAGTAACAACAGAGACGTTTCCACAAACTCACTTGTGTTCATCAACAGAGGCCGCACGGACAAGGACTTGTCTCTATGGGACGAGTATGTTTTGGTAAATAATGGTTGACAATGATCACAACGTGAACCCTTTAAATGGAAGTCCTCTATGCAGTGCGGTCCATGTGTGGACTTGTGCTCTTCACAGACAAACATCAAACCATCCTCTCCTAAAGACCGGCCCTGCAACGACTGCCTCACCCACTGGACTGTATAGGGAAATATGGCCCGATTTGTCAGCGTTTGAATCCTCATCTCCTGTGAATTATCCGGTTGGATAGGGTTGTTAGTATGAACTACCAATAAGAAATGGCTGTCATACCGACTACGGAGCAACACTGCCAAGCGCCTATTGCTCATAAGCCCATGTCACTGAGTTTACTATTTTACCAGATATAGCTTGATGAACCGTACCGCTAGACTGCTGTGAGCTGTGATTGACAGTTACAACTCATGAATGAAGCACACAGTCAATAACGAGGTTGTTGTTTATGATGAGAAGAATAATGAAGACGACTACCCACATCGGGTCTCATTATGAGAACGAATCATATGTGGAAGTCTAATCTTCTGATAACGCTCTAAAGGAAGGATTAGATCCGTGCAGGGAACTCCATTCTGTGACCACATTCATGGAAACGCACCTAAACTCGGCTTACTCTCAAAGAAAGTTATCGGAACCAAGAACACAAAGGTTGGAATACACCAGCTGTGTTGTATAACACATAGCTACATTCCGCCATTAATTTCTCCGTTTCGTTGTACACTGTCCCAAGAAGTCACTATGATAGACTTTTGGACTGCTAAATTTGCTGTCGTCTGATGCCACCTACCAACAGGGTAAAGAAGCGAAATTATGCTAAGAAGAATTGTAACGAACTGTCCAGAAGTCTTCTCACACATAGTGAGGTTTGTCAAGGCCATTTTGCTAACAAACGAAAATAACTAAATTTCACTCGATGCAGATATTCCAGTTGAAGGCAAAAACCGCCTAAACACGTCACATGTGTCAATTACAGCACACCGTTGTTCTGTGGTAAAAGGGAGACGCTAGTGGTAAGAAACACTGGGGTGATTGTTAGCTCACTTTGCAACCAGGCTGTTTCTATTCCAGCAATATTACATAAGGCAGCAAGTTTGTACTAAGTCCACTGCTAAGTGAGATAGAATTGAAGCCAGACTTTTTGTTTCGAGACTGATAAGTGTCATATTGAAAATATAAGGGCAACCATATCAATAGCGAAACATGGATAAAATGGTTAAGAGGCTCGGTTTCTAGGCCAAACAATTGTGTGAACGTGGACTATTTGGTCCGCTCAAATATCTATTGGAGGGCTACGGTGTATGAGCAATGAGGCCATGTGACTGAAACGGTACTTTGGTTTTCGTAAGCAATGGACAGATAGGTTGAGTTGGTTGCACTCTGAGCAGTTTAATACGGTGATTCGGTCAGAGGTCCGTGGAGCAGACTTTTGTCCACCGATGAAATTCTCATAAGAACGTGAAAGCAGAAGCAAACTTATTGCGTTTTCCAGGTATCAGTGGGGCAAAATCCACAAGAATCTGAGGCTTCCACTGATCAGGATTAACAAAAAGATTAACAAGCCTAGTGATGGTCAATAATCACGTGATTCATTGTGTGCATCACGTGGACAAGCGAAAACGCACTCACAGTAACCATGCTCCAACAGTTAGACCACAAAAGCAAAACACACCCAAGAGCAGTTTGGGGGCCGCTAAAGCAACGCTATACAGGAACAAAAGTGAATAACATAATGATTGGTTTTGATAGTGTGCACTGAACATGAACTGGGTATTTCGATCATGTAAAAGGCAAGGAAACTTGTGGACTTGTAGCTGGAAATATGTCATGTTGTGGTAAGCATATCTAAGGACTCATCATCACCATCATCAATGTCAGCTGTAATAACCGCGTACTCGTCGTACAGTAGCTGCCGCAGTTCCGTTCACTGATGATTCGGGGGGGATAGGTAGCTGCGCACTGCAGGTGAAAGCTGATAAATTGGTGCATAAATCCAGCACTGTCAGTGGGTTGTCAAGTAGTGGGGGGGGGTTGGAAAAGGAGCTATGTGTTGAAGGCAATAGCTTGGATGCATGAGAGCCATTGAGGGCACGATTGGGCCATGTCTGACAATGTCTCTAGCCACTGACGTGGCCCGTCTCGGGGTCCCCATCCAGGAAGACGGCAGTGACAAGCGCAGCTGAGTTTGCTGGTAATGGCTTTCATACTTCGCTGCCAGGTCATTGTTTGACCGCCTCTGGCTCTCTCCCACCCTTCACATGGTCGTGAGAAAAGAGCCCTTCGAGGAAGTCGGTCGACTGGCATACGCAACACGTGGCCAAGCCAGCGCAACCTATGCAGTATGCTCAGTTCATCTATCGAGGGTGGGTTATTTCTCGCGAATACCATTCGACGTACTTCAGAATTGCTGATCCGGTGTTCCTACCAGATCCGGGCAATGTTCCGAAGGCATCGATGGTCAAACACTGAAAGTCTTTTGGCGTCCTCAGAGCGCAGCGGCCACGAGATATTTTCTATATAGGAGCTTTTAACGTCCGTATTCTACGTCAAATTGGCGAACAGGCAATGCTTGCTGAAACCTTGTACTCCCTTAAAATTGATGTATGCTGTGTCTCCGAAACACGCATACAAGACCCGAGCGTGGTTATACATCTTAGAACGCCACGGTTCAACTCAGCTCTTTCGCATCTGAGGACTCTTAGTACACTTCATCAAAGCCTGAGACCCAATCACAAGTAAATGATCACGCATAGTTCGGGGCCAACCTAACAACTGACTTTTTTCACTGAGGTGAGAATTTCGGTACGGAAACGCGCAACTGCCCCTACGAACTTTGAAGCTGACCTGAGTGTGAGTCCACGTTAGACTATTACACTAGCCACGTCCGACACATACCTAACGTCCACGACAGCAGACACGTTCCGTTGTTCGGATATTAGTATACCACTCCAATACAAGTTGAACATTCATTTAATTCTGAGCGTTCCTTCGCCGAAGCACTGATGCGTGAGTATGCTGCTACTGTTTGCGGACGACTGTGCCACAGTTTCCAATTCCAAAGGGTTACAACAGATGATTGCGGCCTTCGGAAATTACTTTGGCTTACAAGTATGTTTCCAAGTGTTACGGTTTCGATCACGCAGCGGGTAACGATAATATGCGCGGACTGTGACAATATGTCTGATCCCGACTCCTAGTATGTCCTGTGGTAAGAAGACGAAGTCTTGGACACAACTGTAATGCTCCGAACACTAAGCGATTAACAGGCAACAGTGGAAAAATGACAAAGCAAATATACCCATAGTTTGACCCTGAAAATGCCGGAAGTTCGTTAGCACACACAAAGATACAGAGTTTCTGGGGATATTGATAACCCCAACACTGAGACATCTGTTTTTTGTCAGTCTGCACCACCGCTTTAATACAAGTATCAAATGTTATTCAAACTTTTATCGATATACTTCACGTTTGATTATAAACTCAAAGTATGAATTACGAAGACTGACACAACATCCAGCCGCCTCGAGAAAAGTGTCTGATGCTGTGAATCGAGCTGTTGCGTTGTCTATATTACTGTGCACAAACGACGATTCTTGTTACATGACTGAGATTATCTGCACAGTTCCCGCAACATCTTGCGGACCACGTGAACGGGCCGAGTACCGAACACCTCCAAACCGCGAGCGCTACTGGAAGCAAGTTCACTGCAATGCGGAAGCCATTTGAAACGAATGGCCGAAAACTCGCATTACAAAGCAAGTGATCTAGCTGAAAAGTGCAGATCGAGCTTGACGATAGTATCTGTCTGATAGAATAGAGGCAGCACAAATGATCGCCAAGTATGGACAACCAACACAAGAATGAGCGTAAACCGTTGAAATATATACCAAACCCACTAAACCGGATATGATATACACTATTGTTACCACTGCTACCAAAAACCCGCAAGGTGATACTTCCTGGAGTCCTTTGCACTCTAATTAGTGGTATTTAGGGCGTGTAAACAATCCCCGTTGTCATTCAGCATTCTACAAGATGAAGCAAAACACCATTCGAATAAGTCAGGATAAAGGGTCCTGCCTCATAGTACTGTCGGTACGACTCATACTCCTCTAGTCCCGTGATATCAACTTTTGGGACGGCTGGTTTGTAGAGTACATACGACCAGTTTAATGTCGACTACCTTGCCATCTGGTTGAGACAAGGCTTCACCACGCAGTTTCGTTTGTAAAACCATTAGCGATGAAGGCTGTCGTGTGCATCGCGGACGGGAATGTTTAGTAGAAAGGGCATTCTAATGGCTAACACATAAGACCGAGCTGATTCCTACACAACGTTGTACCGACCTGAGAGCACTGAGAAGAATCAAATCGAATCCAGTATTCACACAAGAGCTTCAAAAAATTACTTAACTCGATGAAAGACGCAAATGAGCTTCCCGGTATTTAACTAAATTCAAGAAAAGTGACGATGTTCTGGTCATCATCATCAGCAATCGAAGACTATGCACAATACAACACCGAGAACGAATTCCTTCAACGTAATTCAATGGGGATCTAACGATATTCCTTCGAGTTGCAAATGCCATGGCCCATGCAATAAGCGTCAGATGTACTTGGCGGATAAGACAACTGGATGCGAACCAATGAAGCCTCTTGTGTTTGTGAACTGGCAACAGGGTACCTACATCCACACATACGTTGATAAATTATAAGGCCATCGACATTCTACGTCAGGTGACGGGTATCCTTTGGGACGAAGTTTAAAGTTTATGGGAATTTATCCTGAACGAAATGACGTTAAGTCAACAAAATGTGGAAAGTAAGCGCGATAGATGCATAGGGTCGCTTCAGGAAAGTTTGAATGACGAATTCCGGTCATTTTTGCAGATTAACCTCTACGGATCAATTTACACTTTTTAGCGATGCTTCCCCATAGACTTTTGTCTATTTGTTTAGCGGCATGTTAGTATGTTCATGGTTTGCTCAATCAGACTGAGATGGGGAATGCAGGTTCATTTATTCGGTTGCTTTGAATGAGGGCGAGAACCGTGAAGCGTTACTTTGTTTTGTTGCGGCATCTGTCCTCGTCCGCTGGTTGCGAAAGGTGGCACGAATAATTGTTCGAATGTCCGAATGTGTGCATCAGAGTCATGAATATCGACAATTTACTCATTCCAAGTCAACCCAAACAAACATACGTCGACTGAAACTGATTTTGTGCAATTTATATTTTCATACGGCTGATTGGTACGGAAAAACCGCTCTACAAGATAAGTGATAGCGCAGCTCCACGGTTAACTCTAAAATGATAGGAAAAATCCGCTCAAGGAAAGGGGCGTTTTACTCAAGGCTGCTTGAATCCGCCAACCTTCATCATTTTTTCCTACTTCACAACCCTTACCGCTTTATCCGTTTTCTGAATGCGTCCTAATCCAGACACTGCCATCGTATGAACGAGGTCATACATACTTGCATAATGAACCCATTAGAAATCTTGCTTGGCGACCGAGACTCTGGTGCACACATAAGGATACCACCGCCACGAAGGCCAAGAATAGGATACATCTGACAAGACAATGCAGTAATTCGCACTTCCTTTATTCAAAGGCAGTATCGAACTGTATTCAGCTTATTTGGGCACACCGAGTGTGCAAACAGGCGAACGTCTACAACTCCGAAAACTGTTAAGGGGATGCTGTAAATTGGGGAAATTATCACAGTCTGACATTGGAAACTTTGGGGTGCTTCTGCTTTTTGTCGGCTTCGCTTCCGTTCCTCGAAGAGATATTCATATAAGTTATAGATTTTGATTTCTAAGGGTGCCCAACATCTACCGACCAAATATCGTCCCATTCCATTACGGTAGTGATATGGCTGAAAATGTAACCGGTCGTATAATTTTGACGTGAATTTCATGGATGGAACAGATACAAGTCTCCCGATCGTACAAAAACGCCAACTGTGATGTACTACGTAAGTATGAGCCTATCTCATGAGTTTGGCGGTATCATGCAGATGAATGTCCTGTGACTGACTGATGTGGTGCTGAGAAATTTGATGCCACAACGCACTCTAAGATGTTGTTCAAAAACCAAGTTTTGCATTGAAACCCTGTCATATCAGGCAAACAAGTTGGTTGAACGCCAACAGAAACGCCATTGATTCGATGCACAATCAAAACGGAAGGTCCATTAATGAGGTAAAGAACATTGGTGATCTCGTAGGGCGAACTAGGAACCTGATCAAGCTCAACGCCTAAGGTTGAATAAAGGTCAGGTAACAATGATGAACCGAGGGACATTTCAACATGCAAAAAAGAGAAACGGTTTCCACCCAAACAAGTAGCCATGAATACGCACTCCCAGTATGAAACCATGACAGCTAAGAGCACCAAACAACATGTACGTAGTTTATGGTGGATGAGGACGACGTGACTTGTCCTGGCAAAATGAGTATATCAGACGGTTGATCTGAGGGACTATAAAAATTAGGGTAGTCACGGTGCGAAAAATGAGTAAACCCATTGCATGGATACACCACAATCCTTAGAATGCAGCAAACTTACCTGCCGAAAGTGGTGCGACACCATAGTCTTGAGCACAAACCCAAAAGTAACCGCAGGGTAGCCAACGCTGAAATGAAACGGAATACATGAGATGAGGAATACCGAACCAAACGTTAGAGAACAAGTACTCCGTCTTTGAGAAAAACCTTCAAGCAAACAATATTCTCAACAACGGACTCCTTAGCGAACCACAATCAGCCAATGCAACTCCGCTATGAAAGTTGACAGTCTCCTAAAGAAGCTTCCGTTGACTTTGATCTTCTAGAAGGAAATGGCCAGCCAGGATATGCGTACCCAGGTTAGCCGTGCAGCTAACAATCCTGGCAGTTTTCCAATCAGCTAGCTAATGGACATTTGCCATCGGGGGGGGGATGATAGCGTTAACTGATAACGAATGTTTTGGAACGGGGGGGGATGATAACGTTAACTGATAACGAATGTTTTGGAACCTGTTACAGTGCACACTGTAACGGGCTGCGACGAAAGTTCCGTGCTTTGAGCCTAATCCCGACATCTCGATAGGATCGTTTACCTCCAAAAACTTACCTGTATGCAAAAAGCGGCACTTCCCGTAGGTTGCATGGCAGCTATGTGTCAAAAACAAGGTACATCAGGATGACTGGGAAAAACGCATCAGGATTTTTGTGCCATCGATCGCTCAGCTCGATAATTTCTATTGAAAAATGTACGACGTTAATTAGCACACAGGAAGCATTAAATCATTACCCACTGTTGACGTTAGACGACATGTTGAAACCTGAATGATGTTCCGATCGAAGGATGCGTCTCATGTAGAATGAGGGTGGTTCATATGCAGATTAGTACCGTTACATGACCATACAGAGCTACAATTCCTCCAGCTTTTACTGCAATCTTGATAAACCACTGAGAAGCTCCTTGAGGTGACAGTACCGAGCCTTAGGACAGTCTTCGGTGTTACAGCCAATGAGAGAAGACCTACCAATAAAGGTTCGCCTGATAATCCTAACAAGAACCAACCGTCTCCAAAATACGCGAAATCCAACTTATTGTAACTCACCATCGATTTTAACCAACCAGTCTAGGATTGGAGCGGGCGACTTGCCATTTGTGTTTTATCCTTCTCGTTGCGAATACAAGCTCAGTGAAGTGCACATAGTACCACCTCTCCACCCACAAAAGATCAAGTTAACTTGTGCTTACTAGTTAAATTCGGTTTGACATTGACGCATAATTTTGTGGCTCTCAGGATGGACTTTGTGACCTAACAACAGAGTAAGGATGAGGTCGGGCTACTCCAACATTCAGTGGAAAAACCGCGAAGTAACCTGCATTGGGGTTGGCGTTCTACCTTCGTAAGCACAAGCTAAAACGATTTATTGGCTGATTCGACACTGCTAAACATAGTGATTTCCAATCTAATGCCTTTTTGGGTTATCATATTACTAGGCTTGGACAAACAGCCCTCGTGCTTTCTTCTGGTGGCATGGCAGCTAGGCACCGAAAGGGTGCAACAGCTGAACGATTATTATTTTTATTACTAACGATAACGTGAGTGATAGCATGATAACTGAGCGCGCTGGTTCAATTTTACTAAACCGAACAAACTGTCTTCAGCCTTGAAGCTACGATCAAAGCGAGCAAGCTCTCTGATCTGAACCGTTCCAAAAAACAGTTTTATGTCTGCAGATTATGATCCAGGGGGTCGGTTGTCCTTGATAAAAAAGCGAACCCAGTCTAGCATAAGTTAGGATTCATTCATAAAACACCGTTAGCCTGAAATGACTACAAACAGTTGTGCTGCTTACTACAGAGTAACAACCAGTCGACGAAATCAGTCAAACCACATACGCACTATTTTTGTCGGACTATTGCGCACTGATGATAGTGCTGATCAAGGATAGCTGCGCTGTAGAATAAACTAGGGTTTATTTCCATAGGTAACCACTAAAGCACAATCAGCATGATTTGAACGACTGTTTGGACAAAAAAGTACATTACTGGTGAAAAAATGCACATTGAGCGTTGATCGTTATTATGCGCATGAAACGGATTGCACGTACGTGCACGGTTGAAATATAAACCTGGTAGCTTACACCATTTGACAAGCTTCAAGGGACCCTATCGATTCGGTAATTTGTGCTTTCAAAGTATGGGCTCTAAAATATAAAAAACCACGTCCGTCGTAGGCTTGAATCGGTCGTTCCATTACCCGGTTATCGTGCATCATCAACATCGTCATCACCGCGTACTAAAACTGGCAGTCGCGTCCATCAATGATCTGAAGGAGGTATGGGCGAATAGCTGTGCACTGGAGCCGGTAGCTGATATAGCCCATGAGTTAGTAGATGCTTGCCAGTGGACTTTTTAGTGGGGAGATCGGGGGAAGGATGCAATATATTGAAAGCAACAGCTTAGCCGCATGCGTCCCATTGAGCTATAACTCGCAACGTCTCTAATCACTGATTCGTCCTATCTCGGGGTCCCCATCCAAGATGGTAATGATCAGCGCGGTTGAGTTTGCTGACAAAGGTTATCATACTCTACTGCCAAGACAGCACTTGACCTCCACTGGCTCGTTTCTACCCTCCGCGTGGTTGTGTGAAATTCAGTTGAATGGTATACGGAACACGTGACCAAGCCAGCACAGCCCATTTTATGTGATCAGCCCATCTACTTTGAGCGAATTATTTCTTCCGAAGAAACAAAATTCGACGTACTTCAGCACTACTGATGCGAAGTTCCCATCAGATTAGGAAGACATCGACGGTCAAGCACTGGATTTTTTTAATGTCCACATCACGCAGAGGCCAATTTTCTCACTCATTTAAATAGATGGGACGCATCACAGCATTGTAAACTTGGAACATAGCAGATGAGCCGATGTCACGCCTACGCAACGTTCACAAAAGCTGCTCTGGTCTTCCCAATTCGGATGGAAATATGCCCTCGCCTAGACCACAGGGAACAATACAACTATCCAGGTAGACAAACTTGTCCATTCGGCTGATTTGCAAGCATGAAGTTAGGGTTTTAGCCCATCCAGTCTTGCAGCAGCACTATACACCTTGCAGGTGTGAAGCAAATGCCAAACCATGAGGCAGAATTAGTTAGATCACTTAATACTGTTTGCATTTCGAAGGCGTCGGATGAAAAAAGAGCTATAGCGTCTGCGTACTGATACCGACAGGTATCAGAGGATGGGAGTGAGTCCTCCATGATAATATTAACGGAGAAGTTGAAGAGGAAGGTTAAAAAAGGATAGCCTTTCCTTACACTAATCGATGTAGTGAACTCAGGCGAGAACTTTCCGCGCACATCCGCGGGAGTTGGCGTAGAGTATCATAAGGAGAGTCAAGAATTTATGGGGGACACCCTTGATCCAAAGACACTGCTATAGTGCTTGACGGTCCACAAAGTCAGAGGTAGCTTTCGGATTAAGGGATACTACCATTGTTCGTTGCTAAAAGCAGTCTTTATGTCCCAGAATCCGTCAGTGTGAAAATGTGATCAATATATCATACTACAGGGCAGAACTAAGCTTGTTTTTTAAGGATCTACTTCCCCTTGTGTTCCGTTAGCATTTGAGGGATAAGACCAGAGGTTACTTCCTATGTCACAGCCACCAAGTTGATGCCATGGTGATTTTCACACAGCTTCACAGGCCTCAGTAATTGTTTAACATTGTCATTTTAGGACCGCATAGCAGTAGGGTGCATTCCGCAAGCATATATTCCCAGTTTACCATGTACGATATGAAGACCACGCATTTAATGTCCATCAGCTCGTTTCCGTAACAATTCCTACCCATGAATGGAAGACTGGGTAATATCGCACACCATAATGTTGATGGCCGAGCTTGGTCTACAGAATCAACTCTAAATGGAAAAAAATGTAACCAGGCAGCATGATGAAGAAGCACACATTAACCTGGGTTGAAACGAAGTATAAAATGGGCATGATTTCATACCCTGCATGGCCGGTAGAGTAAAAATATAGGTTGTCTGATGTGACCAGGTTGCATGAGGCCCTCAATGAATTCGTCAGTTAGGTAGACCGCTAAATCCAAGGTACAAACCGCCTGTTCGCGCAACCCAAAGTTGAACGGTGTGTGTATGTATCTCTCGGCAACTAGTGTACGACCATAGATATGGAAGGTAAAAAAATCCAGTCACTCTGCTTCCCTCTACGTGTTCTCTAGAATGAAGGGCTTTCTATTCTCCAAGGAGAAACTGCATGAAGCAAATCCAAAATTTAAATGACTGGTGGAAGCGTCCAGAGAGCAAGATGCAATATATAACTGATTACATGGAGATTGTAATTTAAAAATCTGGTACCGAGCAAATGCAATAGTCACACATGACAAATCATATTATAGTGAGATAGACTTTCTATTAACCACGCAAAACGAATTTAAAAAAAAAAAAACAAATATCAGGCCCCAGTTGACCTCTTTTTAGCTGATAATTTTATGAGCAAAATTGAACGTACTGTTGTAAGCCTTGTAACCGGACAGCTCCCATTTTAGAGACGCTATGCTGATGATAATTTTATAATCTTTCAGCTAGTACAACACAGCAGCTACTTTGTCGTTCTAGCTCGACCCACTTAGGCATTCCAATTTACTGCGGAAAGTCAACGACAGGTTCCAGTGTCTACAAGTAAGATTAGTTTGGAGACAGGACAGCCCTCTTCAGAGATGGGTATTTTAAATTCACTATAAATAACGTGTACCGCATGGCAACCAGTTCCCCGGATAGAGTATATATATATATATAATGTATATATATGGGAAACCTAATTAAGTTTCTGACGAATAGGGCTGGTAAAATGGCGGACGACACGACCTATACTATATTTCAAGGGCACTTGAAGAAAACGGTTGCCTAGATAAATTCGTACTAAGATATCCAAGAGTGACTATCAGGAAAGGAAGGAGAGGAATTCCGCCAGTCCCCAAACGGCCTACTTAAGTGAAGCCAGCGTTGAGAAGCGGTAGAGTCTTTGAAACAACCGCGCGTAAAATGGTCCTGTTAGAAGGACTGCCTCCAAATGAAGAAATTCATTTTGTTAAGAATTTATCCCACTCCAGTCTCTCATTGATATCCTGTTAGATTGCTCGCTTTTTTGTATTCTGGTTCATTTGAATTCATAACACGGAACGGTTCACTTGTTTACAGCACAATTCCAGTGTTAGTGACAATTCTGAATGATACATCGGTAGACCGTATCAAAATGCTTTAAGCCTTGTAGCTTAGCCGTGACCGCTTGCTCAAAACTAACACTAAGGTTAAGTTATCGGCCCATGAATTTTGTGACCTATTCTTTCGTTTGCGAAATTTGCACAAACTAGGCGTCTGCCTCAGAGAATGGCTGAGCATGCGTCATTGTGTAATGGATCCCACAAAACGAAACACGTGACCAAAGAGATTGTGGCTGATTTAATGGTTACGGATCACCCTGTTCACCGGACCGAATCGTTTAACGTGATTTATCGAGTGCCACCCAATCGCTCAGTCAATGCGTCCCCACAATGGAAAAGCGATCGCCATTAAATTAGTGATTGTTGGAAGCAGCAAATAATACGTTATTATTCTACGCGGTTAGGAAGCTACTCAGTGAGAAGGGCGCTCATTAGAAGGTATAGTATCAATGGCTAAACCACAAATGAACAAAACCGCAAGTGGCACTTTTGCACGCTTACCAGTGTGTGGCGAAAGGCCTGCAAATATCTATCCCCAGCGGGATGTGTTTGGGATCGCGCAACCGGACCGCTACTTCAACGTAGACGAATATGAAGCACAACACAATCGTAGGCGCATAGAACCCACGATCTGAAAGTAGAAGGATATGAACAGGAGTGAAATCCGGTCCAAGTGAACAGCGTACGCAAATAACCGACTACAATGTAGATAAAAATAATAAATCGTTCAGCTGTGGCACCCTTTGGGTGCCTACCTGCCATGCCATCCGAAGGAAGCACAAGGGCTGGGATACTGCCAGGTCGCCCAAGCCTAGACAGGGGAAGTCGAATGGCAGAGGTCCGGTTCGAACCACGGACCTTCCGGTCAGTAAATTCGCGCTCTAACCACTTGAGCCATCTCGACCCAAAGTAGATAGTACACTCAGAGATCGGGGCATGAGACATGGGATGTGTGGACAAAGTTCCGTCAGAAGAAAACAAACCGCAATGTATCGAAGTGTTGAGATAAAATAAAATCTACGCGGGACACTTATGGGGCGATGAGACTTGGGTGCATCTCCTTTAAGCAGACAACTTTATTCCGGTCCGGCAAGTATAGCATCAAATTGATGGGCAAAATAAAAAACGCTGAAAGTTAACAGGAAGCTTCGTTTGTTTCACCTACCCAACCACCCATCACGGATCGACTGTGGCGAGCCATGATACCCAGACGCCACGTTTGGCTCACTTGAGTATTTGTGGTGCGTGGTCTTGATACTGACTAATCAGCTTGATGATTGAAGTTACTGTGGTCTCACTGCTTGTGCGTAAAGTGGTGGAGCACGAAACATACTTTCGAATGTGGGTTCAATGATGGTTGATCTAGTCAACACTAAAGACGTTTCAAAGTATTGGCGAGCTAAATCGATGGATGACAGCTCAGTTTCGTGTCTCGCATTTTAGCCATGTCGTCATGAAAAACTCGTCCCACAGAGGGTGAGCACGCGTTGTCCAGTTCAATCACAAAAAACTTCACAAGACACTACTCAGCTAATCTAAAGTCGTTAGAAAATTTGAAAAAGAAAACGAAAGAGAAACAGTATTGTCGGAAAGTAATCAAACCTGGAAATCTGACTTATTTCCGAAGGTACTTGTGTAGACCGTGCGCACTCCACCTTTGAGACTGTGTATCGCCGTTGATGAGCGCCCGAGAGCTGGATAACACAGCCCTGAGGTCAGTAACGGTTGACCGCTCAACTAACAAAATCCAGACAGTGTTCCAGAAATTCCCATGTCGAGTGAGTTGACGAACATGTCTTCGGTGAGGTCATTTAGGGTCAGGCAGTTGCAAAGGCTAAGCAGCAGTATTTAACAATTTACTAGGCACAGTGTACATGAAACAGGAAGCCGAGTGAGAGACGGCATTGTCTATTTGTCAGTGGACAACTAGTAGGAGACATCAATTGGACGACCTGAGTTTGGCAGTGCATGCAGTGTTGTGGTTGTGTACTCAGCACAGGATGTATGTACGGGAGGTGTTCCGGACCATGGCAAGTTCAATACGAGAACAAAGCGGTTTTGCCAACAAAGAATCGGATCGCGATGGCGTATGGTGACAACTTTAGCCACTGCGAGTGTGCGGTGCTGTGCCGATCTGGGTTGATTAGCATGCGCCTTGAAAACAATACGGAAACGTAGGCTGGGTATCGTGCTGTGCGATGTTTACTAGATGCCGCACGACTGAGCTACCTAATGTCCTACTGGGTATACAAGCTAGCTATGGTGGATTGTGTTCCTTCATTCTTTGGACGAGTTGCCTCGTCGTACATCCAATGCAGCCAACAGCAAGAGAACGAGTGGGTACACATTTTGGATGTGAACAGGAACTCCATCTTTTGGACTAAAGGAACAAAGATGATTGCTTGTGAACCAGGTTCGAACGGCTGCGGCCGGGAAAACTGCTGAAACTAGTGTAAAGTGTTCTGTTTGGTGGGATAGAAGATACATCACCCTTAAACGTACGCTTATTGTAGACAGGCTTTCTTTCTGCTGTGGAATAGGCTTCTCCTCAGTTCCAATGGTTTCTAATAAAATTGTCGGGGAACTCGTTTTTTCTCAAAAGGTTGTCGAGAGCTAGGAATTCCCGTTCTAGCGCACCGCCAAGGAATGTTTCTCGCTCTGTTAGTAAGGCTACGTACGGATCAGAGTATCCTTTCGTTTTAGTGGAACGAGGCCGGTCACGTTGGCGAACTGTCCGGACCGCGTAGGCTTTCGGTACACCGATCATTACAGTGCACCATCGTGACGTCGTTCAAGGCCAACATATAGGCATTGAAGGAAGTTATCGGTTTCTCCTTTCGAATTGAAATGGATGGCGGTCTGGTCCTTATTGAACTCCTGTTAATGCAAGTCCATCTTAGTTTTATTGTTAAAGATCGCGGAAATGTTGCCTACAGAATCCGGTTGTTCACAAGATTTGGTAGTTTCGGAAGCTTAAAAAATACTGAGCAAGATGTGGTATATAATATGGAGTTTTTTAATACAAAGCAGTGTAGTGGAATAAGATGTAATTTGACGTTTCGGCTGCTGCGGGAAACCCTTTTCAAGGAGTTCTACAATTATTTGAACATGAGTCGAATGCAGCGCCACTACTATCATGCCTTCTGATTGGTGTGTTCCTGTGATCAGTTAGACGCGACAACCGTGTGTGGGTGTGTTAGGTAGCATTATTGTGTACTTTTACTAGGATATGTCTCGGTTTATTGCTGCACGTGCTGCGATGCGCCATTGTTAGGATCTCTGACATCTGACATCGGGTTAGTATGCCTCCAACCTAAACACATCAATGGTGAAGTAGCAATCAGATTTGTTGTAACAGCTCTTTGCACTAGTGTACCAATTAACGAGTATCTTCTCTATCTTCTCTTTCATGTGACGATATACCTCTAGTACAGAGAACAACCATATTCCCTGTTGAGATTATTAGTGGTATTGAAATGCGTCCAAGCACCACTTGTTTCACCTTTTAAAACGCATTCTTCAGACAAAGTGAGAGTGTCGCTATGGTCTCTCCAGTATCATACACGGTGGCGAATATTTTCTTGCACCATGTTGAAACCAAAAAGTTACTTAACTTCACCCATCCACAATGCATCTGGCTGAGATACCTTGACAACATATTTGAGATCATATCAGCCACGCAACGGCAAGCTTTCCAATACTGCTTGGACCAACAAGGCAGTAATATAAAATTCACGATTTAAACAGAACGAGCGAAGGATGGTTAGTTTCTCCAAACACCGCACAAACTGCGTCTACCGAATTCCCTAAGCAGAATGCCCGGCCAGATACATAGGCCGAACAGCCAGACAACCCCGTGAACGAATCACAGAGCACAAACGACACACGTGTTTTCCACCAAAGTTAAAAAAACTGCACTAACCGCAGTGATGGCGCGAGCATCCCATTTATCTGGCTTCGACTTACTATACACCTTAGTAGACAAAGTAGCCAGATGCTCAACAGGGATCTCAGTAACGAAGCATCACAGCCACCACAACAGACCGTGGCACATCCTAATCGAAGTACACATACAATCTCGCGTATACGCACACACAACCACACACGCTTATCACCTGTGACTGGCAAGTGACTACAGGAACACACCAATCAGAAGATACGATAGCGGACCCAAATAATTGTAGAAATCCCCGAAAAAGGTTGCCCACGTCAACCGAAACGTCAGATTATAACATCTTGTTCCACTACACTCTTCTGAATTAAAAAAAAATCCATGTTGTCTAGGTATTAGCAGTAGTACTGTGTCCAGCTTTTAAGGGAAGATTTTCAATTTTACTCATGAAGATGTCGGTTAGCATCTGGCCAGTTGTGAGCCCATGACGACGCCACTAATTTGACGGTAGAGTTCCACAGTCAATGTGCATCGCCAGAGAAGTTTTCGCAATTCGCCGACTTAATTATCTAATGAAAGTTGTTTGGTTCAATGTAATTACGTAGTAATTAACATAATCAGTCAAGATGACGTCGGTAAACAGTGAAGTCACATCGAATTTCTCAGTTCAAGGTCGTTTGTTGAGTCCACAAATCAAAATGGATCTCCGAACCTATATTGACACGTAACACGAATTGGGTGAGATGGCTATGTTTGAAACGCGAATTTACTGACCGGAAGGTCCATGATTCGAACCCGACCTCTGCCTCTCGGCTCCTCCTATCCAGGCTTGGGCAACCTGGTAGTATCCCAGCCCTCGTGCTTCCTTTTGATGACAGGACGGTAAGCACCGAAAGGGTGCTACAGTTGAGCGATCTTTTACTTTCGGCGTATCGGCTAGAGCATTCTGACGAGCTATTGTGCGCTTTTGTGATAATGTGAGTCGCGCACGTCTACAATCGGCTATGTGCTGCCCTGATTAGTGACAAGGAACGTGCATATTACTGAAATGTCTTCAAAATACGCTCTAAGGGGAATCAAGATAAATTGAGAGTTGTTTCTTTACCACTGAGCATTAAATTGAGGTGAACGCCCACAACAGCTAAAAAAATATGATGATTGACGAAAGGTACTTTTTGGGTATGTTCGATCAGTTGAAAAACACCTGGAACTGATTGAGCAGTCATCGTTTTCGGAAGAGTTTGGCAGCAATCCGTACATTTATTATTAACCATTGTAAACATACTTTTCAGGTAGTCTAACGCGCTGTTTCAGACCGGCGCCGACCCCCCACCTAGAAAACCTGAGAAAATCGAGTAATAGTGACATGACGGTTGTGTCAGCTTGATAGCTGTAAAATGGTGCATACAGTATGACTGACTGTAGTTGCTCCCCTAAATTACACCGACAGAGGTAAATTAAATTATCAAAATCCCTTATCCCTCAAAGTTCATAAAGGTTGCATGGTACACCGCAATTTTAATCCGTTCTATGGAATTTAATTGCGAGCAAATCACCCTTTTCAAGGCTGTAACATGCGGTGAAAATTCCACTGCCAGACCAGTAATCAAGTAGACTCTGCTTTTGTAATAAAAAAAAAACTCGATTATGATAAACGTGCAAAAATATCAAACTGACAAAAAATCAGACAGGTTTGATCCACTTTGGACACCCAACTGTGCTTCTATCGCAAATGCAACTACGAGGTGAAGGCGTCGATATGCAGCTGGGTCAAGTTCGACTTTAAGAGACATTACAATTAATCGACAAGCGAAATCTGGTATTCAAATGGATTTGCTTACAACCATACCGAAGGTGACGGACCAAACCAATGATGATCAATCAAACAGCTTAGGAAAATAGGGTAACTCAGAAAGACTAAGGAGAACCTGCACAAGAGCTTCTCCAATTGGTGAGATTTCGGGAAAAGTTAAGTCACGTTACGTTATGACACTAGTCTAACAAACTTAGCATTAAATATTCCGGATCAGCACATGTTTCCAGCAGACAAACAAACAAATATTCAGTGATCGTGATTTTGGCTAACGCTGTCCAAAATGTCACAGATCGTCCAAAAACATAGATTCGAAAGAAGTTTAGGAAGAAACCATTGGCTAATCAAGAAAGCAAACAGCAGTGTGATTGGAGGGCACAGCATGATAAACGGATGGAACGTTATGCTCAGTCAGCTGGGAGCTATGCGGCCAACAGAAGGTAGCAGAGTCGATACAATCATGAATAAGCCATAATGTGTTCAGGAAGCAGGTATAACCTGGACGGTTCGGGAATTGAAAAAGAACAATCTAATTGTGACGTTCTCGTGAGATCTGAAGAAAAACTCGAAGTGAGGTAGCAATCTCTCACACCGATCAATACCTATGGCCTAAGTTGTCCTAGTTATAAAGTGAAAACCGTTACAAACCAACGAGTTCTGCAGACAGTGTTCAAATGATGGCAAGCGTTTTTAATGTTCCCGCGTACCCATGGTCACGTGCTTGCCACACATCCAACCATTATGGTATGTGAATACAACCAGGCAGTTACAAGTACATACGCCCGTGGTCCAACGACGCGTGTTTGCGTACAAGTGCCTATCTAGTTGTATCGTGTAACACAAAGGACGGTAGTAGCAAATGTCAATGCAATCAGCAATGGGAGGGCATTTCAGGCACACATATATTCACTGTATAGTTGTCCCTAGGCCAGTTTCTATAGTTTCCCACTGGCAAAACCACATGGTGCTGTGAACAAATATGAACCGGGAATATCGATGACGACGACAGAAAATCACCAGCACTAATGTAACTGTTTTCTTTTGTTCTTCCAAGAAAAGAATTTCGTCGTTGTGTCGTAGTGTACCGAGCAATTAGGACAGAGGATGTAAGCATTCGGCAATACCAATTAAATTCCAAAAAATATCAAAATGTGACAGAAACTCGTCAAGAAGTGTTTATAGGTATGGAAGTCTATCAGAAATTCCCTTAGTTGCCTACATGTAACCTCCTCTATGGAAGTGAATAAAAGCATGGAATACTACGAGTGTCATACTGTCACACAACGATAAGATCTCATTTCAGGTGATAGAATGTGTGAGTAAGAAATAAGCTTGATAATTTTGGATAATTTGCCTGTCTGAGGGGCCAAAACACGAAGGTGGCAGTGGAACAGCGTATCCAGGGAACCGATTCGGCGTTTTGAAGATCGGCCCTGGAAGCTGCCTCAGTACTACGTACTCGGTTGAGGAGGTTGGAAGGGGAGCTATGCGGTGAAAGCGACCGCGTGGAAGTACCTAACAAAGTACAGTACCTAACGAAAGCACTGCGATCCCATTTTGTCAAGGCAAAATTGAGAAACAGGTATGGTAAAAAGCTCGCAGACTCAGAAAAAATTTACGCATCTACAAAGCATTGTTTATGCCCGTCACGTGGTGTGAGACGCTGACCACATACCGGCATAATATCCGTTGTCTGAACCGTCTCCGTATGCAAATCTTTCGGCGGATACTATTCACCGGCTGGAATTCACCGGATGGAATAGAAAGCCCCATACAACTGTTTGTGGCAACTGGGACTTGCTCGTCTAGTGAAGTGAAGCAGGATCATGAAGTTGACCAAATATCAGCAACCATTGGATTTACATGGATTAAAGGAGATTTGGTCGGACACACACAATGTTCAGCTCAAACCCCATTTGGCGTTGCATAACTTCCACATGGGGGTAAGTCAAATTAACAGGCGAAGCCTCAAGTAGATTCCAGCCTTCGGCAGAGTCATATCACATAAAATGTCTCTGATGGAGTGGGAAACCAGATGAACTAAAACATGGTAGTGGATCTGTGTCATGCCTTTACCAGGTTTGAGAACAAGAATGCATTCAACCAAACTGGAAATCATTCAATCGATTCAAGAAGTACCCGGAACGACTGCTCCACTGATAAAGGTATAACTTTTACCGCAGTTGTAACACAACTGTCAGGTCAAAAGTACTGCAACTTCCGACCTTATCGCGCTAGACGCAAGTCTGCGAGCATGAGACACGGTTTCGACTAACCACGGAAATGTATTGATTACGTCTTGACAGTAGGGGAAGCATTTGAGAAGCTTCGTGCATACCGTCGGTCAACAGCGGCAGTTTTTTCCGACTTAAATAGTTACCTCAGCTCTTGGGACAGAGAAGTTCTTACACATATACTTAACCAATGGGTGGTCCTTTGACGTTTGTGAATATTCTCCACACACTTTATTCCCATACTTCAAGCCGGATTATGAATGATGTTGAGCAACCAAAAGGTTTTCCCACAACTAATCGGGTTTGCCTGGGTTGCCCTATCTCCCTGTATTTGCTCGATTCTGTCGCTGGTCTGGATATCGAAGTTGGATCAGGAGAGAGAGAGAGAGAGACGAGTGGACTTGAGTACACGATGAAGAAGGCGTATCGACACGAGTGACTCTGAATGGGGTACCGGAAGTAGTCACTTGTTACAACATGTGCACCGGATAGTCAAATTTTGAAATCTTAGGGACTTCTCACTCCCTTATATCCCTTTTAAATCTCAGAATAAGAAGCCTGAGCTTATCAACCTATTTTAGTCGTTTATCTTATCTTGGAAGCTGTATAAGTCGCAACTTACTCTGACGGCTGAAGTCAACTGTTAAGACACGAACAGTGCTTGTCTTTGGGACCGGAATGACATTTCATTAAAATCAAAGCCACTGTGAGAGCAGACTTATTTATGACTGCAAAATCTGTTTTCTCGGATCTAAAGACGTCAGACATCTCCAAGCACTTGACCATCCATGCCTTCATAGCGTTAAACGGCCGCAGAATGTTCGTACTTCATTCGTCTTTACGGGTATACTGGACAACGAGTGGGATTCGCTAGAGAGGCTGATAAAGCTTGTGCGTGTTTGGGACATGTACTACACAATCACTGCCTACCAAAGAAAGCTGCCTTCCACTTCAGACCCGGGGGGAGACAGAGACCACTACGTTGCAAAGCGAAGTGGAAGTAGCTACTGGTAAATTGAGAGCTGTTGGATCTTTGAACTACGTTGGATAGGGTCCACATGATTCGCCCTGTGGGCCGTTGGAGACCTACTTGATGTGATGCGTAACCGACACCAGTGGTGAGCCGACCGGACTGTCGAACCGCGACTTGTTGGCCATTGTCAGCGAGATCGTATTGAGGGAGAATGGCAAAGGATGCTGGATCGATCTTACCGGTAGCATCTTCCTCCAAACTGGTGACAAGATGTTTTATCTCAATGACTTCGGAAGATATGGGTGTCTTGCTCTCGAAGTTTCCCCTATGAATATATGGTTTTTCGCCTAGATCATTCTCCGTGGTTATCTAATAGCTAAACACTAGTTTCCACTGCTAATGTTCGAAATTTCGCGAGAAACAATGTCTAAAGCCACTGATCAACGATCAGCTACCAAGCTTGAACAAAATTTGATGGGGGAAGTTTGAATCAAATAACTTAACGTCTGAAATTTGCAAGTGGAAATCTTTAGACGTAGAAAGACAAACTGCAATAAACTGTAAATATTATTTTACACGCCCTGACAATAAGAGGAGGAATTAAATTTGAAGAATGAAGGGTGTCAGTAAAAGTACAAAAACACAATGACTTGGTGGCGCGCAGGACTTCAACAGCATACTGCAATAAATATACATTCACAGTCGGTCAAAATGTCCAAAAGGTGTTATTTTAGGACAAAGGGAGTGAAACTGATGACATGTGCAAATTCATCCCTGAAGGAATCAACTGATCGATGTCTGTACAGCAATGACGACCAAAAAGGACATATGATTGTGATACAAAGAGTGCTAGCACTCCCAACTTACCACTCTGCCAAACCAATTGTATCCATACGAAAGAGCTGCCCAGAAGATAGACTAGTGTAGTCGGTACGAGAAAATAACAGACCACGTCGGACATAGTTGCGATCAAAGTGAAAAACAACGCAAATGCCTGTAAAGGGTGGATTAATAGCGTCGATAAATATGGGTTTGTTCAAAACTTTATCGAAAATGCAAATGAAAAAAACAGCCAAACGTACAGTGCAGTCCTAAATTTCAGCCCTGGTGTGGTTTGTTATGCCATCATACATAGAATGGAGTACGGTTGCAGAAATCCGAGTTTTTTATTCGAAGGGGACGTCAACATAGCCAGAGTTGGCTGGTGCTGCTTTGAAGAAAACTCATCCTCGCTCAAGAGTCGGTAGTAATTGACTGACTAATCAATTATCGTCATGTCATTATAGTTGACTAACATCAAAGAGTTCACATTTAGTATATTGGGCCGTTGGTTTCAACGACTTATTGCAAAGGTCTTTAGCAACACACAGGTGAGCGTATGGAGGACACAATCCGACAGACAAAAATTTACGAGTGTTTTAAATGCTTTAAACTTCAAAGTGTAACATGAAGAGCCGATTTAGGGGGTTCACCTGTGGTAGTTTGGTAGGTCATCTTACTAGCGATACATTTCAGGTCCTTTCTGCTTGACGTGCTACCCTAGGTTGAAACCGAGCAGCAACATAGTACTCTAGTTTGAGCAGCCTAAAAATTGATCTACCTTGTGATACACTAGTTGAAACAAACCAATGGATTGATTATAGATGAAGTAAGCATCTGTTTTATTGTTAGAAAGCCTCGTATATTTTATTCCCATAATCCCAGTGGACATGAAGTAAATCAGTAGCAACGCGAAGAAAAATCTAAAGTTTCCATTTACACTGGATGGACCTTGATGCTTCAGATCGATTTCAGGACACTGAAGGGACACATCATGATCCAGAGCACAAACCGTTTTCGGCCGAAATCTCATCACAAAAAATTAGCAAATCACCGAAAACCGGGCTTTTATGCGTTCCTAAAATTACATCATTGCACGCTCATTTGAGTTCTTGGCACGAGCCAAGAAACACTTGCATCGGATACTATGACAGCTGAACGAAGACTACCTGTGTTTAGAAAGTAGTGAAAGAACTGACCAGGTTACCCGGTCGTTTGTTCGAGGCAAACGTACGAACGGCACGTTTAAAGCCAAATCACTTTTTGAACACAAGGGAAAACGGAAATGTCTCTGCAGGGCGGTTGACAACAGCACGTTAGGATTGATTTTTTGGGTTACCAAGTTGATTTTTCGAATGATTCTTAGCATGAGGGTAGAGACATCTTCCGTTTTGGTCAACAATGTTCGACATACTGCGCGGAACAACACAAGTAAAACCAAGATTTTACATCTCAAGTACAACGGTGGTTGACTTTTTGGGTTCAAACTCGACATAATCACGCACATTGAATACCGAATGTGGGAGTAAAATAGGTCTCGCAAAGAGCGCTTAACTCTGGTTAGGACTAGACCCGAGTGTTGGCTTCTTTCTGGTGAGGCAAAGGGACTTTTAAGCAAATCCAAGAAAAAAGTGGTTCGAGCCGGCTATGGGAAACTGAAGCTTCTCATGGGTGACCAGAGTACCATATATACATTGGGCAACCGAAAAATGGTGAGCACAAGACGGAAGAACCATTACTCTCAAAGTTGATTTGATCGTCACTCATCGCTCTAGTTCAATAATTCCCTAGATCCATCCGTTTGACATTTGGAGACAAGTCGTTGACCTTAGGAGTTCATTTTCGATGGTTGACTGGGTCGATCGATTTCATCCTGATATTAGATCGATCGACACGAGGTTTCAAGAACGAGACTGAATATTAAGCAGTTGGGGACCATTTCATAATGACATTTCATGTGATTCGGAGTCATCTTTCGAATGAGCTCACACAGGAGTTGAGACATAGTGGCTCCTAATGGTCGAATAATTTCCTTTCTGTTCGTTTGTTACGTTTTCGTAAAAAAATCCGTTGTAGTTGAAAGTGCAACCATTTGGATAATTAAATATTTGGGAGCAATGTGTCATGAATAAGTACCACAACCTCAAAAACTGAAGAAACAAAGTACGGATTACATTAATTGTAACAGCGGTTTTTCGGGCGGTCTTGCTCAAGATCACTACCAAAGATAGATCCTTCCTGGGTGATTCGTGCAGAAGCCATTCATCCAAAAAAGAATTATCACCCTCCACTTCCACCTTGGACTGATAATATCGAATTACCGTGTGTTTTCTAGCTAGGACGTTTTATTATCGCCTAACAACATTCCGTCTCAATTGATCATTGTCTTATCTTTTGTATTAGCTCATGTTTATGCTGCGATTCCCACCTATATCCGCAAAAATCCGTTCTTGCTCGCCAACGAAAAGCGTGTTTTAGGGATACTTCCTAAGCCCACACCCGTGCATTTCGAATTATCAGTGAAGGGATCGTCACCGGAGGGCACACGTTTGGTGACGTGGTCACTGAGTATGTGGACCGCGAACTCTATATTTCACTAAGTGGCTCGCCAGTAGGGCATATTGGCGGTAGTCATTCATCGCAACTTTTTTTGCGATTATACCTACAGATACAAGTTCCGTGTCAGGGGCCATATATTGTTGCCATGACTGAATATACGACAGCATGACTTGGTCCTCAAACGCTTGACGGCATGCCCGATAGTCTCGATTTGACTTGAAATGACGACAATCGATTGTTGACTTTATCACCGTCAGTTTATAGCTCACTTGAACTTCCGTCATCGCGGACATCCTACTACCAATTAGGGACCATTTCCATTCTGCGACAATCCAATCGATACTGGCCATGTCGCCATCAGCTGTCGGTATAAGTTCTTTCCGGGATTGCTGATCCTACTGGAAAGCGTCCATTAATCGTGATTAGGCATTTAGTATCCGTAAAAATAGGCATACACTCCTGTAAAAAAGACAAACAAACCGGCGAGAATTGATGAGCATAAGTTAACACAGCCAACCAGCGCAGAATGGACGTCAGAACTCATAGAGGATCACCAATTATCGATCAGACACGCCATGCAGGAACTTTCATCGACAGATCGTTGCTGGTCTTGCTGTGCACTCAGTTGTAAATAGGGGATAGGACGTATAAAGCTGCAAACGTCAAGCGTCGAGCACTTTCAGGATCGTGAGCCTAAGAGGAGCAAAAAGCCTATAGAAATGGAGCTTGGACTAGCAACTGAAGGTTGGTGTTATCCGTTTCGCCTGATCAAATTCGATGGTCACTAGAGAATAATACTCATGAGCCAGACTTTTATTCAGTGGAAGATTGTAGTGAGCGACTCCTCAAACTACCAGCGGCAACACTTCAAATAACAAAAAATAGCTTCACCTGACTCGTAGACTTCGGGACTACGTTCAACTCTGCGAACTAAGAGCAAGGTAGAACGCACTGAAACCGCATCGAGATTAATGGTATCGGGCGAACAAGTTCTTACTACGTATGTAGCACGGCACAGGTCCATGAGTATGACAGTCACCAACCATTGGTTTCTCATCTGGGCTCAGATAAAGCTGTCTACAGTCAATCGCGATTTTCTGCATAATGCATCGAGCTGACAAAGAACATCACAGGACAGTGTGTTCATCTTGAATTCGCTATTATTCCCTATTCGTCAGCCTTGACACCAACGTCCCTAGAACTAAGGCGTTTCCTCTGTCCACATTTGGCATTCACATACCATTTACAAGGAACGCCGTCGAGAGTTCAAATTTGTCAGATTATGTGGACTACCTTATCGTGGTGGTGCAATGATTCTGTTCAGCTGTAGCACTCTTTCGGTGCCCAAATGGGATGTTGCCAGGTTGCCAAAGCCGACAGGGGAAGTCGAGCCACAGAGGTCGGGAAACGGATTCTGAACTATACTGACTGGAACTCAGTTCCTTAAGGTTCAGTGAAGCCAGAAAGATTTATGGAGAGCAGCCGACGAAGACCAGTGAGTCATCGTACTACAAGAAATCCAATCACGAGACAGTCTGGTGGTAAAGTCATCCAATTCATCGCAACAAGAGTAGAACAGTTGCGTGTTCACCCCAAACGACCACCATCCTTACATTAGAGGAAGCAGAGATGCTGGCTACCTCGGAGGAAAGATGGATTAGGGGATGTCGACTTTAAAAACTGCCCACCTCGATCGCTCAACGACTGAGCGTAAGCATCGGCGCATTATCTAATACGACTGATATACTCTTAAAAGCCAAAAGTCCGGTGGGACGAAAACGCACGTGCTATGTGCATCATCAATCGGAGTCAGACAATCATGCTTTAGCCCCTCCGTTCAGGTCAGTCCCCCACCGTTGGGTGAAAGATTCTCAAATCGTTTATTCCCGTCAAGCTGCCTGAAGAGGAAAGATTTTGTCGAGGGACTGCTGCTCAGACCGTTGAGCCAAAGAGCATGTACCGTCGAAAAACGTAACAGTTAGTAATCACAAAAAATAAATAAGAATGAGGAAGCGTGAAGTTTGACTAATGAACTGAAACGCTGTTGTACTGACATAGGTCAGCATCATCACCATCACTGACAGCAACACCAGATGGTAAATTGACAACCATGTCAATTAAGTTGAATAGACCCTTACGGAAGAAAGAAACGGAGCAGGAAGAGGGATCTAGGGCCAACACACAACAAATATCCGAGGTTCGTACACTTCCAACACTCAGTTAGACAACCTGGATAGAAATTGACAGCACGAATGCCACTGGCATTAATTAGCTGCCATATTACTGTGTTTCCAGCCAAGCACAGGGATGGTCACGTGGACCCCACAGCGGAAGGTGAGCGGACTTTTCGTAACATCCTTCACTCCCTTCAGTCATGGCAAATCCTGTCCACCCCGAGCTTCCACCACTTCGAATAAGGGACAGAAAACGGCGTTCGGCTCGGTAGGGGCTGAACTGGCATGCGTATCACATGACCCAGGCACCTTAGCTGATAGTACTGGGTACTTTGAGTGAAATACCGTCTGCTTCACCAAACAAGTCTCGCTTCACTCCCTTCAGTCATGGCAAATCCTGTCCACCCCGAGCTTCCACCACTTCGAATAAGGGACAGAAAACGGCGTTCGGCTCGGTAGGGGCTGAACTGGCATGCGTATCACATGACCCAGGCACCTTAGCTGATAGTACTGGGTACTTTGAGTGAAATACCGTCTGCTTCACCAAAACAAGTCTCGTGATCACCTCATTCCGAATTCGTTGGTTCAAACCAGTTTCAGCTATAGTTCTGAGATATCGGTGGTCAACGACTGGCCGAAGATGCCACAGATCTGCACCGCGAACAAGAAGAGGTTTCGCAGCCATAAAGCAATGCAGTCCGCACTGTAGTCTAATATACGCCTCCTCTGAGACCCAGTGATATGAATAGTTCTATGCCAGTGAGCCAGCACACAACCTGCAACCAAGATGAAGGTCAGACCTCAGCTCAGAGGTCAAAAGATCCAAAAGTTTGGAAAAGCGTCAAAGCTGAAGAACACATGAGTGTTGATTTTAACGCTTGCATGTGACTGCAACGGACCAAGAGCTGGATAGCTGTCTCCTCAGCTGAGATTCTAGACGGTAAGAAAGCTTGTTCTATCATTTACATAGTGATGGGGTTGCTTGACTATTAGCTAAGGCGCATCACTTGTAACGGTAATATAAGCTTGGTGGGCTGCCAACCTGACAGTCATATCTGAAAAGTGAATATCTGTGTAATCAAAGCAACCCTTTCGTTTAAAAAACAAGACCAATACGCAAACACGGTAGAACATGGCCGGTAGATTTTATGAAATCTGATAAAAGCAAGTGAGTTCACGTTGGTCTTGTTGCTGCCCCCAGATGCGCATCTGACAAAACTTTCGCTTTATAGACTGTGTAAAAGACATATCAACTAAGAAAAATCGTTGACCTGAATCGCTAATATCCCACGAGAAAATTACGTTTGCATAGTTTGAGAAGAGACTCTTCTCACAAATACACACATACACCTCTGATGTTAAAAAAATTTTCTTGGAGTCTCCTTCCCATTGCATAATGAAAGTCACGGATGTTTCGATTACCCAAAATCCACTCGTTTTTATCCCACGCTCGTTCGAGTAATATTGCAAACACGGAATATTCATATCGATTTGATGGACCCAGCTGATTAGTCATCTAATCCCTTTCTGTCCAGAATTGGATGTGCATCAAACATGTTCCCTACGAGAGGAACAACAGAGCTGTGACAGAACTTGCTAGCGAAGAGACTAGACATTTGCCATCAAGAGGACATGCACACATAGTGTCAGTCTGTGAACTTATTGTAAGTGACTGAAGAACTGGGGCATGAATGCAAGACGTCCGTGTGATCGGCTATAGCCACTGACTACGATATACTAAGTGAGTAAGAAGTTTGCAGTTGGTTCCTGACACAGGAAAACCGCTGAAACGTGAAGTCAATCGGAAACGACTTCCTCATCCTCCAAGTCAATCAATTAAAGGGTTAATTAGAAAATATATTGGAATTCGAAAAGCCACTGTATAAAAAAACAGTAAACCTCTGGGGTAAAAAGGTTATTAGAATAGTCGAGCTCACGGCATTGTGAGCAAAAGAGGGTCACAAATTTGAGCAGAAATTGAAAATCCTCAAACAAAAATATTCACCCTTTCTGACCCCAACCCGGGAGTCATGAGGGTTCCACTGTAGACAATTTGGTGGTGCATTCGTTCGCATTTGCTTCCACATCAGGCGTTGACCCCGTACCATTCCTTCTGTGCACATCCCGTCAGCACGTTTAGGGAGCTGGTTAGGCTGCGTTTTCAGGATATGCAGTTACCGTACCTAGTACCTGGTTGCGATCGAAATGAAATTTTCCGTACAAAGCGGACGCCGGACACGAAGGCCTGTAGGATGTCAATTAGAAGAAACTGGCTCTCGCGTGCCCGAAGGAGCACCTCTCCAAATGACGAGCTGGGTACCAGTCTGTTTAGTGTCAGGTTGTCGCATCTCTTTCGGAGAGTTACAAGCCGATAAAGGCACCCTAACCTTTGTTAACTGAGCTGCTACCTCCAAACCGATGAATCCATTATCCGCAAGGTGCTCAGCAGAAAACTATCAACCAAATCAAGTAAATAGTTTTCTAGGATAAAAGCAGTTGGATCAGCTAACCATTCGTGCACCAGCGCCTTACAATATGGCGGTAAAACGCACAGTTCGTATTGACGAATCTCGATCGTCAAGCTTTTCCGATGCTGAGTTGAGTTTAGGTGACTTCCACATAATAGTCCAGATAACGAGTTAAGTCCCCAGATAGGAGTTCGGCCATCGTTGATCCCAATGACAGTAGCTTGAAGGACAGTGACAAAAAGAAAGATGAAGAAAAGTTCCTCCAGATTCCTACACAGCCTGTAGTTTATGAACTTCATCCATCTGATCAAAAGCAGGAAGGTTAAATACAATGCTTGGTTGACCACATGTGAGGTGGTGTTCAAGAATTTGTCGAAATGGGAAGATTTGGTGTACACGACTGCGGAAACTAGTTTGTTCTTTGAGGATTTCAAGTTTGGTGAAAGTGCAAAAAGAATTACTACTGCCCGCGCATGTTTGAGTAGTCAGTGCGTGGGCCCTTACTGTGGACCGTACGGGCCAAAAACCTCGACCAAAACCTGCCACCTTGACGGGGTTGCCGGACTTGAGTGCTACAATCATCCCACAGGGTGTGTTGGCTGGAAATCCGTTCCAAATTGCAAACATGCCAGGCGATCAGTCAAGCGGAGGACGAGCGTTTGTACTACTGCTAACAGATATGAGGCGGTCAGAAGGTGAAGTAGTACTGCCCTGTGCGATAGGAGTGTAGTTAAGAGTTTCCTTCAGGTAACCAACATGCCAATATTTAGAGAATGCAGCGATGCTGTTTTCCTTCTAGGAAGGACATTTTAGAAAAGGCTAGCATTAAAACCAGATACTGAAATCACACAAAAGTTGACCGTACCTGCCGGCGAATCATCCAATGCGACCAAAACAATCCATCACCAATGGCTTAGGCACGCTTCATTTCTTCGGTCTGTATGATTCACTTGTACGTTCTTCTTATTTCACTAGGCCTTTATTAAGTTGACGTTTAGCTGTTATGCGTGCGCGATTGTGAGGAGAAAACTCACTAGTGAGAGGGATTTTACAGAGATACACGGTTTGTTTCCAGTTATTCGACCCACAAACGCTGACCCCAACACGATTTGAAGCAACCTCGATAGTAGATCAGTGCCCGCCAATGCACTTGAGAGGCTCTGGTATCAAATGGGCGGCGACACCAGTCTGGAATCCTCCCTAGAGGCTTGTTACATCAATTTCGCTACCATGTTGATGGGCCGTTGCCATAGAATCCCACGTTCATTATTATGAACACCGCTGCTTGGTCGGAATCCACCAAGTGTTTCAATAGAAACGACAGACACGTGTAAAGCGCCGTAGAAGAAAGGTTACAATGTGACCTGTCTGAGTTTATTGATGAGCCGTCAATTGCGAGTGCCATCGATGCAGCCCACGACGTTAGAACTCGAGGCTTGCCAAACACACGCGATCGGTGTATAATTCTAGAAGCAGCTCACCGTCATCACTCCTCGTTGTATAGTGGCTGTGACCCTCCGAGGATTACTTCCAATGGGTACAGGCGAGCAACACGCTCATTAAGCTATCCAGCCAACACAATTATGGTAGGCAGGGGTACTCGCTAAAGAACTCCGGGTTGGGTGTCATCCGCTGAAGCAGAGTTACGTTCCCTCAACGCGCAAGCCAAAATGGTGGGTAGGTATCGCTCAGACCTGGACCTTGAACACCGCTAATCTGACAGCTCATAGCTTCCTACTAATGGATACCCAGCCAAGCAGCTCACTTACAGCGAGTATAAGTTCCACACCAGATGATGCAACCGGAATCTATGGAATGGTAAATGTTCGCGGAATCCGAAACCTGTGATGAGAATGAAGACTGCACTGGGACCATACCGACATGCCCGTGAGAAACAACATACACTGATGCCCATACCCCACTTTCCAGGAGTAACGAAGTTATCATCAGCTCAGTAGCACAGAAAAAATTTCACCAAAACTTACCAAGCCTTGATATCGGAAGGAGTCGATCACCGTGCGGACGAACAACCAACAAGAATAGATAAATTCGAAGCGAAAATCTGTGAAAAAGTCCAGCATCAGGATAGTTGCCCAGATAATAAGCAGTTTGAAAGGTGTTCCGAATCTGTAACAGAGAGCAAGAGTGGAAATGCAAACACCATGGATGCCGAGATGAATGCATCTGAAAACTCAATATGAAATCCGCACCGATTATCATAGTCGGGCAAAGTCAGTAACGCAAAACACGTATCTTATTTACGTCAATGCATTAATTTAAAGTTTCCAGTGGATACACTACACCTGAACATACGGTGCATGGCCAACCACGATAATCGGATAATTGAGATAGAGCACTGAAGATAGAATACGGCATCTGAAGGAATAATCTATAGGAACTGATATGAAAAAACTGTAAACCGAAGTAAAATTAATCCCAGCTCTCATACAGATTATCATTCAACGATGTAATCATTTAGAATTTTGTTATCATGTTGACTTTAAAAGCATATGCATTGAAGGGTGGAAAACATAAGTTCAAACAATCTGTCACTTACAATATGATAGAAAATATAAAAATCGTTCAGCTGTAGCACCCTTTCGGTGCTTAGCTGCCATGCCACACGAATGAGGCACGAGGGCTGGGATACCGTCAGGCCGCCCAAGCCTACGCAAGGGAAGTCGAGAGGCAGAGGTCGGGTTCGAACGACGGACCTTTCGGTCAGTAAATCCGCGCTCTAACCACTTGGTCCATCTCGCCCCTAACATATGATAGAACCAGCCTCGATGTAAACGGTAAAGCAATAACGAACTACATGTATTAAAAAGAGTGGGACGAGATGGCTCAAATGGTTGGAGGGCGAATTTACTGACCAGAGAGTCCATGGTTCGAACCGACCTCTGCTTTTCGACTTCCCCTGTCTGAGCTTGGGTAACCTGGCAGTATCTCAGTCCTCGTGCTTCCTTCGGGTAGCATTGCAGCTAGGCACCGGAAGGGTTAAAAAGAGTTCTGCCCATAATGGAGTCAACACTACTGATTTAATATTCCGGTATCAGGGCACATGGCCGGGATGAATACACAGTTAACTGATGATGAGTTGGGCATACCAATCACACCGCTCAAGCGTGAACTCGTTTACCCGTTCAAAATTCAGATGTGTCCAACGTGCACTGGAGCAGTGGTAACATGCTCCTCTCGCACGTCAGGTGTTCTCAATTCAAACCCCGACAGGGCCAAAATAAACAACAAAACTAGAAAGACAACAATCACAAGTTTGATGTGTCATCTATACAAGTGCTTCGAATTAACAAAAACAAACACTGATGAAATAAACAAATTGAAACCTGGGAATTTCCAGAGGAAAAATGTTGATAGATCGCATTGTCGAACCGGAAACACTCTTATTGCAAAAATGGGTCGTCCTGAGTAAACATCCTGTCTGTGCACTTCTATGAACGAGTGTCGAAACTAAATAAGAGTTCGTACTCATATCACTCTGGTTTTAACGGTCGTCCTTCTGTTCTGGCGTAATCATTCTGGTGAGTCCGAACCAAAGGGGAGAGCTTTGGACTCGAGTTTCGCTCTTATTAAAGCTGATCAGCAATGCATTTCCAATGTCCGTGCCGGGAGGTTGAACTAGGGACACCTGACATGCGAGGCGAGCATGTGGACTGACCATCATAATTACGCCAAGACAGGAGGACGACTGTTGAGTGATGTGAGTATGAACAATGCATATCCCGCAAACCCCACAACAGATATCAAAACTGTAGAAGTTCGAAAATTACATGATATGAAGTCCTTCAGAACTCTTGTCAGTTCTGCGCAACATCCCCTAAAAAATGACTGACAGACAATAGATTATTCCTTCAAGTTGACAGTTCCTATCACTGTGATGCATACAACATGTCTACAGTCATGAAAGTGTAATTAAGGACGTTTAAGAGACGTCCAAACCACTACAAAACAGGTATATGATAGGCCGCTGCTCTGGTGTTTTAAAGAGTGACATCTTTGCATATGATGGAGCTGCCTCTAATGTGATACTAAGATGACGTGTCAAAAGAATAAGTTGTAGCAAATTGATACGTTTTCTTCATTCGCACCAAAAGGCTTAAATAATGGCATCATCGTCTGATGAGGAGAATGCTTCTTAGCCGCTTTTTAGTGGAGTAGTTTTACATAAGCTATTAATCCACACTTTTCAACCGATCGCTATCTTAGTTTTCTATCCATAAAGCATCACCTCCATAATTTGTAGCTTATGTGAACAGAAAGACAAGGAGGGTTAAAACACGTCATATATGTTGATAAATGCTATCCAAGAAACACCCCTGCAAAGGGATGGGTAAAAGTATACAAAAGTGTTTCGAATCGGATAGATCTACTTCGCGATCTTCAAGAAGAATCCAAGATTCCTTTCACAATGTCTGAGTAAAATGATAGAACCTAGCATCTTGAGTGGTTTCTGTAAGTAGTTACCCGTTAGCGAATATTAGGGTGGTCACTCGAGTGAAATCTACTTGGACAACTACCTGTGGCGAATCGGTAAGACAGAATTCCTCGTCTACAAAAACTCCGAAAAAGAAAGACTGTCTACAGTCCACAGAAGATCGCTGACTGCTCGAATAATTTGCAACAGAAAGGACCATGAATGGTGATATCCCCCAAAAAGCATCAACCATGTCTGCAACCGGTGAGATTTTGGGTTTTCAATTCAAATTTCATTATACAATGATCACAATGCGCTGAAAAGCCAAGGCAGTACTTCACACCGGTTGAGGAGCACCACTAGCGTGCACCTCACGAACCTCTAGAGACTCGGACTTCATAGCCCGGTTTGTAGCTGAGCAGTACATTATCAGACCATAGACTGCAGACCGCTGGTTTGAATTAGCTTGATCCCAGTTGTAAACAGACTGTGTCACTTAATTTACGCCGCCTTATGAAGGCCCGTGAAGATGGGACCCGAGAACAGTGAGCAGGGAAGGAGCTGTGTGGATGAAATCTTCACATTCCGCCAAGTGTTAGGGCAACGGCATGCGTATAGACGTAGCTGTGGCACAGCGCGTGTAGCAGGTTACAGCAAGGAATGTGCTATTGTATGGTTGCGAAACACTCTGCGGACAGATGTAAAGCATATTCAAGCGGTTAACCACGTATGTCTCAAAAGCGCTGGTGATGTCAACGAATTCGTGACGAGGTAATGAGAAAATGGACATCTAGTTCTGCAGCAGGTATTTCAGTAGCGGAAAATAGCCAGTACCAGCAATTTGAGTGGCTCAGTCATGTGCTACACACGACGAAACATCGTCTAACGAGACAACTGTTACTCCTCGTGCCTTCTTCAGAATGGAGCAAACCGCGACGTGAACGTGTGACTTGGGAGAAGGGAGTGACGGAGGAGCTTAGGTGTTGTCAGTGCGGTTTGTTTCGAAGTTTTGGTTTTGCGCTTACCTGAAAACATCACGAGAGATGGAGGCTAACCAGGTCAATAACGTCCGGGATGTTATTTTTTAGGGTTGCTTGACTGGGCGTTTGGAGACGTAAGCACCTCGGAATGCTTGCGAGAGGTCAGTACCAGGATCCTCCCTCGCCCATTTTTTTCTTTTCACTCAGAGGCAGTGAAGCATCAGTGTCAACATTGATGTTGCCATTTAAGGTGATTGTGATAGTGGGTAGCATGGAAAGCGGAATGGGGGGGGGGGGGGTACATACAAAAAGGGCTCATGCAGTGGGATGAGGAACACACCTATCACCAAGACGCTGAATCTTTCCATGGTGTAACGGGTTTTGCACCTCTCTAACCCAGAGGGCAGTCCACGTGTGATACTCATAGAGCCTCTCACAACAGGTTGGCCAATGGGTAAAGGTTTGACTACCACAGCCTTCAGTGCCTCCAGGTTGGGGGTCGGAACACGTGTGGCGACTTGATCCTTAAAATGTGGGCTACTCCGACGGCCCTACGCTAACAACGGATGCCTTCTGGTTAGGCTGTTGGGCTAATGCTTCGGTTGAGGACCCTAGTCGTCCTACTGTCTAGGTCTGAGCGCCCTGGAAGTATCCCAACCTATGTACTACCACGAATCACACGCCTATAAACAATCTCATACCACATCCACCATCGTATAGGGCCACCGCACGGTCACCCAACTTACTGCATGCAGTAGGGCGGGCATTTATCGTCCGCACTCTGAAATAGGCTGGACAACAGACTGCTCCTGTATGTACGCTGGATTCCCATTCTATTGATGTGTGCTGTCCGTTTGAAACGAGGAATCAAAACCAAAGTACATTTGTTGAACGGACCTACCTATTGGTTGATTCTCGTTCCTTATTGCACAAATTTGATGGTCCGGAAGCGCTGCTGCTGGTTCTACCGGGGTTGTCGCTGTTCTAAGCCATCGAGTTGAAGGATCTCTAACCGAATGGTTGCTCGTAGGAAGTCACCTCTGTGCGGTTCGTAACGCGCCGATAACCGCCGCCAGTTGGTTGTATGCGCTTACACCCCCTATGACCCTGATAGACTCAAACACAGTTTTTACGTTAGGTTGAGCGCTCTCTTGTGCGAATAAGAGCTCGGCTGTCATTGTGGTTGCCACAGTTATGGGTGCACAATTAGGTAGACTTAGCACTGCTGAGGCTCAGTTGGGTGATTATGTAGAATTACAGTCGAAATGCATGAAAAACGGTAAAAACCTGCTGCAGTTATGTGCTAGCAACAAACTGCACTAACTTCCGAAACAATCAAAGCCTCTTGGCCACATGGAGCACTCCGCGCCCAAACCAACCTGCAACATAGACACACCACATCGCCATTGACTATAGGTGACGTGGGTTCTCGTTCTGGAACACCTGTATGGATTAAGATCACGCGCTTGCTCTTTCCTATTTCTCGTAATTTTCATTGGCGCGAAAGATGCTCACAACTCGGCCGGCCATTGAGGTGGGACAAGTCTTGGGAACCACCTTCCAGACTAGATGTCTTCTGGTGTTTACTCTTACTGGAAGACGTTGTCGAGTCCTTCGAGATGCTCGGTAATCCACCTTTCGAACGGCGCATCAACGTGATCCAGGGACTGGATCTCGAGGAACGATTTAAAAGGTTTCTAACCTCAGTCACGTATTGCACCTGGTAGAGGGCACAATTCTACTCGACGAACTGTCAGAATTCATGTGAAAAAGAATATCTGGATGAACCGAGAAGCATGGTGGATTGAGATGGCTGAAGAGATGGGGGCGAGAAATTCCGGGAATATGCGTAAAGGTCCAAAGAGGCTCCAGTGAGCGGAACGATCGCTGATAAGAACGACTGGCCCGGCTCAAATAAAAAAGAGCCTGAATCGCTGGGTTGATCACTTTCAGCAACAACTGCATCGTGTGTTTTAATATACTTCTCAGACCTGTGACCCGCGAAGCCTTTGCACTGCTAGAAAAGGAGCTGAGTTTTCGGGGGTTCAGTTCAATGAAATTCAATCAAAGGTTGTACCGAACGAGGGCGTAATCTGAACCAACATATTTACTCCAGGATAACCGGTAGTCAAGGCCAGAACAAGTCACCCGAATGTAATGGCTAAGTGATCAGTTTAACTCAGCAGTGGAGCACGACGACACCCACCACGCCCGAACCCAGTGGGAGACGCTCGCCATTATCATGACTCTTTACATGCAAACGGAACATACCACTAAGATGCGCTTCTAATGACAAGTCCTTCTACCCGCACATTGAAATCACCTGCTGCAATGACTACCCCTGAATCCATATGGCAAATAGTTTTCCACAGGTCTTTTTATTAATCGGAGCTGCAATGTGTGCACAAGACAGGCAAACAGTATCCAGTACTTCAACCAGTACGAGCTTTAAAGGGATTCGAAAGTCAGACGGTAGTCAGCCCCCTGTAAGTACATACATACATACTCGCGAAAATACAGTTATGCCAGCAACGCAACCCACTACAGAAGCTTCAGCATCACATGAAATGCGTAGCCGATAGCATCTAGACAGCAGGGGAGCTGCAGTCTCAACTATAGCACTAGTATTCTGTATCCGAATTTTGGAGATGCAGGAGAATTTGGTTGATAAGACATCCGGAGTGCGAACAATAACGACCTGTCAGCTGATCTTCCAAAGAGTTCGCACGTTAATGTTTGTGGCAAAAACAGAACTATGCCCAAACAGCAGGTGAAAAATAGTTATAAGCGATATGATGTTGGTGACATCTGTGGGTGCCTAAATGACGTATCTACCGATGACATTTATGGAAGTTATGAGCAGGGCTGAAGGAAATCAGGAGATAATAGTAAAGGAGGATGAAGGATATCAAGATTAACCGATTTTCAATTGCCTGCCTTACTGCGAATATGATGCGACTAGGCTGATTTTAATAAGCGAAGGCCGATCATCCTCATCACCGATAGCAAGACACTAGTAGTGCAGATTGGTGCTTAAATGCAACACTGCTTCACATGGTTACACGAGGGCCCAGAGATGGCTAAAGGACCTAAAGTTCAAACACAACGGGACTGGCGCACTTAGCCAGTCTATCGCTTAAAAATACTGAGTCTGCGGCGACCCAAGTGGGTGGCTTACGGTTATCAAGCTGAACTTGGCTATCGATGCTGCTGCCGACGAATCAGAAATTTGAACCAAAGAACTCTACCCAGCGTCCATCCTCGTCACTTATGGTCCTGGCGTAATATATATTCGTCAGTAGAGTGGGGAGTGCACAATACATCGACGCGACCGGTGCTGCTGTGCAGATACGCAGCTTGGCTACTTAGCGCAGAGGACTAAATTTTTCGATCGCTTCATACATGTGCTGGAGGCACTGTACTTCCAAAACTCAAATGTGGTCTGTCATTTGGCGAGTCACTGAGGAGATGCGTGACTGACAGTTCCGTGGGCTCCAGGTGCAATGTCTCTGTCAAGTTTTTACACATACCCAGTCATCATCATCGACAGCATGACATCAGTGTACAACACCGATGCTTCACTGCCATACTGTCTCCTTTTCCAGGCAAGATTGGAGAACACGAAAGTGACAAGTGGGCCGGGTTTGATTAGGCAAAGAAGTCTTAGCTATGCTGATGTATGCTGGTTGCCAAACGGGGAGCTAAAGACTTATCCGGTCATCGTTATCATCATCATTGACAACAACACCAGGGTAGATTACTGCCTGAATGCTATACATAATGATTACCATCAACAGCATAATATCAAGTGCAACACTGATGCATCACTGCCGTACAACCATGATTATTACGACCAACAATTCGTTTAAAAGCATTGTGAAAATAATTAGAGGGTTGGAAGGGAATCGGTACAAGGCTACCCCAAACACTTCGAGGAACCCACACTACCAGGCAACCTGGATAAGGAGTGCCAACAAGGTCGCTGGCACCGATTAGCAGCGTCTCCAACCATGCGGAGCGGAGATCATGAACAACCTATCCTGAGAGACGAACCGCACCGACAGCACCTAGACTTTTCGTATTCTTTTTTTTATCCCTCTACCAGGTTGTCACGACCGTCCTTTGTATTCACATTAACGCTTTATACTAGCCATGTTTTCGCCTTCATTTCCAGCTTACGTAAGCCCATTCTTAGGCAGATAAAGCGCTATACAATTCCACCTTTCTCTCGCGCTCAGTCAGGTTCTAGGATCCATCCGGAACACAGGTCAAAAGATCGACCATATCTCAGACTTTGCTACTCTGACTGGACACGGAAAACAGAACTCCACAACCATACGACCATGTCAATTTATTTGAACAAAGCCTCACAATGAAAAAGAGGAAAACGTGAGATAGGAGGGGGACCAAGACTAGTCTACAGCAAACATCCGGCGTGCCTACACCATCGCTGTCAGATAAAATGACAGCATGAAATTTAACGACATCGGTTAGCCGCCAAAATTTTCAGTGTTTCCAGGTAATCACAGGATCAAGTTGGCCCCAACCCGGGAAGAGTACCCAAAACTTTTCGTAACATCTCCCGTTTCGTCACATCGAATGCTGTCCAGTCCGAAGTAGCAACCAAAAACAGCGCTCGTTTCGGTACATGCTGGATGCACTCTGCCTCACTAAACACGAATTTATCGATCAGCTCATTACGAATTCATTCATTCATTCATTGGTTCCAGCCAATTCCAGCTTTAGTCATGAGACATCAGTGACCAAACACCTGATAATGTTTCTAGTCCTCTGCCTGAAGTGACCCAGTAAAGCCTGCACTGTAGTCTGATACATGCGCACTTCGCTTAACTCCAGGGTCCACTTGGCACCACGATTGTCCGTACACATCACCCTAGAACTAACCGGCACCAAATGCGATCCATTGTCAGGGGTGAATTGGAAGCATCTTGTAGGCAGTTTGCCCCGTTGATTCAGAAGCCCTCGGTCCACTCAGCGTAGACAGAGTAAGAGAATGCGTACACCATGTATTCACATGGATGTCCAGGACCTGCAATGGCTTCTTAGCATTAACGCCCACATGAGGCTCGTATCAGGTTAGTCACCGATCGAGTTAACGGATGCAGTTGAATTGACAGCAGAAGAGAGGCGCTATATGCTGCATAGCGCCCGTTACAACCTCAGTGTCTCCTGCACTCATCCGGCTAACTCACAAAGTGGATCAATTCAGAAGTGCGATGATGGGCACCCAATGCCCAAAAGGATCGTCAAAATCCTTCTAACATTAGTGCTCTGTGGAGCTCTGCGCGGAAATGTGATGAAGAAAGTTGTACTTAGCCCAAAAGACGTGATTGCGACTGATAACTCCTACATTTAGATGCACTTCTGATTTATCATTGGTTTTGGGGCTACCTTATATACACGTTCACAGACTGCAATTCCAAGACCTGTGACAACAAGTCCACGTTTTTTCTCGTGACACCCGAGATATCCACATCCCATAAGAAGTTTACGAATATATTAAAAGACAGCATTTTCTTCTGTGAAGTTGTTCGACGGTGTCATCCGGATGAAGTGCTATACTCCCTCGATGTCTTCAAGCATAGCAAAGACTGCCTTCCCTTGAAACTTAACCTCGATGCCACCGTTCTCCAGTATCCATACAGCGCCTACCAGCTCTACCGTCGCATTGTTCTCGTACTTCCACATCCTGACTACCACACCGAGAGAGCATCTAGGGTAGTGGTTCGCTGACATCACGATCATCAACAATATTATCAGCTGTAAGAACTGACTACCTGCATACTAGTAAACTCTATACATTTCTCTGCATCGCATCTACTTTCCCAGTGTTCCATGAAAGGAGTAAATGAGCTTTCTATGAGCAAGACAATATTTCCCTCATTCAATAATATTACCCCCATGAAAATGGTGAAGCCGCGGAGAAAAGAAAGTTTTTTCTTATCCCAACACTGCAACCTTGAGACAACGGAATTTAGGTCCGACTATACAGACATACCGTCCCATTCTGATGTACGAGCATTGGGGTTTCATCTAAACAAAAAAGCCAATACGGAGATTCCTGTTAGGCTTTTGTGACGACAGGGTGAAGACCAGATGACTAGTGGAAAGCAAGAGAGCAACATGGACCAGGAGGATTAATACGGCCGTACGCATTGACATAAATCCATCTAAGCATTTATTAAAGTCCTAAGTACAATCAAGTTGATGATGACATCCCCAATCAGAAATGGCAATCACTCCTTTCAGGTACTTACAGTGAATTGAAGGTTTCACCGGATTTTGCCTTTCGGTTATTTCTTTTGATTCTTAAATGTTCATTATTCCGTCTTCTAATGTGCATCACTCCACCCCTTAAACATTTGAAGTTTTAGTCAAAACAGGTCCTTATTGGGCGGTTGAACAAACCGCGGCTCCGTTGGGTGAGACAAACAACCAGAACAGCTAGTTCAAAATGGGATCTGCCATTGAGGCAGAGTTCTGTGGGTCAAGATAAGTCTATGACGGGAGATATGCTGCGGTTTGAAAGATTTTTCAAATATCACAAGTGGCAGCGCGTCAGTTGTGGACCAAATTTCCACCTTGAAGCGTACCCATGACCAGCTTGTCTTGGAAGGGCTTCACGGATTCACGGATTCACGGATTGATACACAGGATCGAGGTTTTTGTCCAAGTTTCCCGGGTCGGGTTTGTTCTTGTCGGTCAGTGGCTGTCGTTCACCTGAAAGGCACAAGTGAAAAAAGGGCGTAGCACTGCACTTTATGTTCTCAGCGCGGGGCAGACATACTGCCCCGCGCTGAGAACATAAAGTGCAGTGCTACGCCCTTTTTTCACTTGTGCCTTTCAGGTGAACGACAGCCACTGACCGACAAGAACAAACCCGACCCGGGAAACTTGGACAAAAACCTCGATCCTGTGTATCAATCCGTGAATCCGTGAATCCGTGAAGCCCTTCCAAGACAAGCTGGTCATGGGTACGCTTCAAGGTGGAAATTTGGTCCACAACTGACGCGCTGCCACTTGTGATATTTGAAAAATCTTTCAAACCGCAGCATATCTCCCGTCATAGACTTATCTTGACCCACAGAACTCTGCCTCAATGGCAGATCCCATTTTGAACTAGCTGTTCTGGTTGTTTGTCTCACCCAACGGAGCCGCGGTTTGTTCAACCGCCCAATAAGGACCTGTTTTGACTAAAACTTCAAATGTTTAAGGGGTGGAGTGATGCACATTAGAAGACGGAATAATGAACATTTAAGAATCAAAAGAAATAACCGAAAGGCAAAATCCGGTGAAACCTTCAATTCACTGTAAGTACCTGAAAGGAGTGATTGCCATTTCTGATTGGGGATGTCATCATCAACTTGATTGTACTTAGGACTTTAATAAATGCTTAGATGGATTTATGTCAATGCGTACGGCCGTATTAATCCTCCTGGTCCATGTTGCTCTCTTGCTTTCCACTAGTCATCTGGTCTTCACCCTGTCGTCACAAAAGCCTAACAGGAATCTCCGTATTGGCTTTTTTGTTTAGATGAAACCCCAATGCTCGTACATCAGAATGGGACGGTATGTCTGTATAGTCGGACCTAAATTCCGTTGTCTCAAGGTTGCAGTGTTGGGATAAGAAAAAACTTTCTTTTCTCCGCGGCTTCACCATTTTCATGGGGGTAATATTATTGAATGAGGGAAATATTGTCTTGCTCATAGAGAGCTCATTTACTCCTTTCATGGAACACTGGGAAAGTAGATGCGATGCAGAGAAATGTATAGAGTTTACTAGTATGCAGGTAGTCAGTTCTTACAGCTGATAATATTGTTGATGATCGTGATGTCAGCGAACCACTACCCTAGATGCTCTCTCGGTGTGGTAGTCAGGATGTGGAAGTACGAGAACAATGCGACGGTAGAGCTGGTAGGCGCTGTATGGATACTGGAGAACGGTGGCATCGAGGTTAAGTTTCAAGGGAAGGCAGTCTTTGCTATGCTTGAAGACATCGAGGGAGTATAGCACTTCATCCGGATGACACCGTCGAACAACTTCACAGAAGAAAATGCTGTCTTTTAATATATTCGTAAACTTCTTATGGGATGTGGATATCTCGGGTGTCACGAGAAAAAACGTGGACTTGTTGTCACAGGTCTTGGAATTGCAGTCTGTGAACGTGTATATAAGGTAGCCCCAAAACCAATGATAAATCAGAAGTGCATCTAAATGTAGGAGTTATCAGTCGCAATCACGTCTTTTGGGCTAAGTACAACTTTCTTCATCACATTTCCGCGCAGAGCTCCACAGAGCACTAATGTTAGAAGGATTGCCAGCGCGAGGATTCGCATAAATAAAATTTCTAATAATGCTTTGAATTGGGTTCTAGAAGGAGCGTGTACAACCGTCAGAGGGAGGTCATTCCACGCAGCTACTACCCGAAATGAAAAAAATTTTCTCTAATGAATGTGTGTGCCCTGAGCTTGAAAATTTTCTTACTATGTCCCCGTCGTGTGATTGCTCGGTCAACGGTAAAAAACTTTTCGCCAAGCTTTGTTCAAACAGGGCGTAGGTAAGAATTAGGTCCCCTCGGAGGCGACGGTAGTCCAGGGGAAAGAGATCAAGTACCGCGAGACGCGTTTCGTAGTTCACGGTTTGAGGCCGGCAACCGTTCTCTTGGCGGCTCGCTGGACACGCTCAATGAGGGTGACGCCTTTCGTACGTCCTGAGTGGACAACTTGGTTAGCGCACCAACCATAGAGTATTTGGAAGTCCATGCGAGTAATACGGGAGAAGGTGCGTCCGATCATCCGCAACGGAGCTTGCCAGAACGATGTCGACCTAATACGGGAGAAGGTGCGTCCGATCATCCGCAACGGAGCTTGCCAGAACGCACTATGTCGACCTATGCTCTCCTGATTTTGTTGTATTGCACCCGCCTTTTCAACTGCATAGTTTCTATGCGTCTCCCAAAGTATGTGGACTTCTTAGAGGCAGATGTTCGTGACCCGGTCAGTTTGGCCTTTCTTAAAGCCGCCTCTAAGCCAGTAAGGCATGTGATATTTTGGCATGGATGCTGAGACCAGGCGAAAAGCAAATCGTTCAAACTGATACGATACGAATTTTTCTCAATGTCACTGAAAGCGGCAAACTAACCACTTTGATTCGGCGTGTTCACCGTTGTCTTCCGTATGCCGAGCTATTACCGGGGAACCTAACGACTGACCACTCATTGCCTCCCACTCCCCGGAATTTCGTATCAAGCCTCTCCATCTTCACGAACATGCTAGTCGTTAGAGATTTCTTGATGCAAACGGAGGACGATTGAATAATCACAGGTACCATTGTTTTGGATTTCGTAAAGGCGAATTGGAATAACTCATAAATATATTCTTCATGGACGCAAAAGGTAAAATTAACAGATGTAATGCTCTCTGTTAAATATGACGTTTTTGTTGGAAGTGGTACACCTTACTCTTTTACCTCGCAATGAATAGATGAAGTACATCAGGGTTCTGTTTGAGAAACATCATTTTCCCAATATACGCGGTCAGCCTACCCGATGCTGAGACGGGTCAATTCTTTTCGTCGTAACAACAATAAAATTTCAAGTTAAACTGGCTCCAAATGGATATGTTTTCGGCAAACCCTTCGTCATGAACGGCAATTTTATCCTACAGACGAATATTTTGCGAACAAATCTTTCACCAGATAGTCAGGTAACGCCGTTGTGTACATTGAAAGGTATCCAGATTGGACATGAAATAATACTAATGGCTAGCTCCCATCATTATATTCGTACACTTGCAACTTAACTATTAGATTATAGGCTATTTGTTATGTGCTTTTTCCAAAGTGGTTTATCAAGCTGGATAGAAGTAGATAAATCAGCACACTTGTCAGCAAACTTGAGTTACAGGAATTTTTGTCCGAGTGCATGCCAAGAGTTCGGCAGGCCGAAGTCACCGCTTCTTGATGATGACGGGTTTAATGACATAGCAAACAACCACGGAAATCCAGAGAAGTTATAACAGCATAGATTGGAAGGAGAAAACCACCTGTTCATAAAGCATGGAGATTGTGCGAGGAAATTTTTACTCTAAAGTTTGTAAACTGATGAAAGACGAGATGTTTAATGATAGTCGCAAAGGGCAGTTGTGGGCAGTGACGTGAAACAGGTAGCCTCCCTGGATGCCTGATTGACGTGCCTCCAGCTCGGCTCTATAAAACACACGAGCATTTATTAGGAACCAAAAGACATGAAGGGGTACAGTGATGAAGATCATCAACAGAAGAGCACATCGCTGAAGAGATAAGTGTAGACATCGTCGCGAACAGCCGTTACAGGAGGAGCTACATGGTAGGGGAGGATTCGGTGCATATCTGGGGATGGAAAGTGGATGAAAAGGCTAACCAAGTGAGACAATTATGGACAAATACACAAAATTAATTGTGAAAATGTATAAGAAGAGGAGATAATGGGATTCTTGGTCCATTGGCAGCTTGCAGGAGAAAGATAGGAAACACAGAAGATGAGCGGCATTTGGTAAATGAGGAGCCCCTGTAAATCAGAAATGCGACAACGGGACATACAAAAACAAACTACCATCCTGGACCTCGTCCAGGAAAGCAGAAATGTGCTGGTCAGATACACGAGACATTTCTGCAGAAACAAGACATCCGCGTTGTCCTTTAGGGACAGAAACGGAGAACTCACGAGTATCACAACGGTGACATCTTAGGTCTACGGAGAAAACTATACGGGTCCATATTTAGCCCCAGCCTACTCGTCACACCCAATCTCGCTAAGGTGTAACTACGAACGGCCTCTAAACGATTTGGTCTTCACGGTGGAGGACATTCGTCAACTCTTGCGCAAAATCAACCTATTTTGCGCGTTCGAGTGAGAATAGGCTCGACTCACTGTTCTCTGGCGCCAGTATTCAATGTAGATCTCAAGGCTCCTTTCCGAGACCGCTTCTTCTTGTTCTGATATACATCACTGACCTTCCGAACGCTCTCTAAGTCCACGCTAAGTTTTGCGGGTGGCTTGAAATTCTGGAGTTCTAACGCCAGTACTCTCTTAATGGATGTAGACGCTACAAAGCAGTGGTCGTTGGATTGGCACCTTCTCCTGGATGGCGGAAGATGCGCTCATATAATGACAATAATTTGTTGCTCTTTTATCGATCTCCCGAATTAAAGGCCATGCTCAAACATACCGGCAATTGGCGAAGCATCCTTGCTACCGGTAGGGTAATGGGCATGTGAGCGCTCCATGGTACAGCACAGCAGGAAGACGCCCCCCGCAGGACGACCACCACATGAGGCTTTCATCCCTCGTGCATGCTGAGGGATCTGCAAGGTAGCAAGCAGTCATAATTTCAGCTTTTGCAAAAATAAGGCACTCCATGCACGAGATATTTCATCCGTTTGGAGAAAGCCAGGCCAGCATAACAGCTAAGTCATTTAGAACAGCAAAACGAAAAAATGCCGCTGGAAAAGTCAGGTCGCGGAGGCAAACGGGGAGGCAGCTACCGTTGAAAAAACGGGGACAGAACGAAGATGGTCACAGCATGTGAGTCATGAATAAACGATGATGGAGCTTGAGCTATCGAGCCAAAAAGTGGAATACCGCAATGTTGTGATCGTGTGCCGAACGGTCTGCGAGGAGCATAATACGTTCTCAGGTATGAGGGACTCTGACCGTTGTTTGTCTTACGTTGGTTAGGTTTGGGCAAGCTGAGGCACCACTCGGTAAACGAAGCAGACTGTGCAGTCCGATGCAGGGAAATAGCTGGGAGGAACATGGTATAAGTTGCTTAAAAATTCAGTGAGGTAGCAAGGTACAGTAGATGGTTGGTCGATTTTTTGAACTAATTTTTTTATTATTTTTCAGAGGTGGTCTTGACCCCGTTCATGAACGAAACCGGGACATACGTGGGTATTAAGTAGGGCGGCTGCGGCCTCACACGCGAGGGAGTTGTCTACTAATTGTGAAAACGTACGCTGTTGTGTGATATTTCGAAACCGATCACGGAGACTGTTCCGGACGCGAGTGTAGTAAACAAGAAAGAATTGGTGTCGTGTGTTTGTACGCGCTTGAGGGCACACTAGGCATGTTGCCGGATTTACCGAATGTATAGCGTGTATATGGCCACGTTTGGCCTAGCCTCTGCTATAGAGGCATTTCGGTACGACAACTGGTGTACGAGAGTTAAATTCAGCTTTGACCGCCTGAGCCATAGTGGCTCAAGCGCTACGATCATACAGCGGAAGCGGTAGGAGAGAGGGCAGGTCTGTGAAGATGACATTTTTGCGAATGGACGTTGGACTTTTTCGAGTGCCCGCCTACAAAAAAAGGAGAAAGCAGAACGGGATTTCGCACATGATCGCACGCATAGCTTGGAAATTGCGACCTTCGGATCATGAAGGTAGAAAGAGCGTAATATTAGAAAGCAGAGTCTACGTGCTCGAGCAACATGGAACTGAACTTGATAAGAAAAACGAAATGCGCAAGAGTATCTGAGACCAAGGTCTTTGATCTCATTAGAATGAATGGTAGTGTTCCCATTGATTGTGAACATACCAGGTTAGACGGAGCACCGATAGGAAGCTATGTGAGACTTGGAATAAGAGGAGCTTGGATAATAGTCACTTGACAAGCGAGTCAGACAGTCTAAGTTTTGTTAGATCCGAAGAAGGGCAAGAGGTATAATAATAATGTTTATCCGCAACTTGTGGGTGGTATACCATCAAGCATGGTCATAGTTTTACGGTCAGAATAAAGCATGACTGGGGGGTTTGTGGGGGGTGCGGATTGCACAAAAAGAGGACAACGTCATAAACAGTGGATAATATCCGATGAAATGGTAACAATAGGTTTCTTTCCAAACTTGTTGGGAACAATTGGCATGGGGTCCGACTGGTTCAAAGACAGCCAGCTGAATTAAAGCTGAAGACCATTGCTGGCCATGAGTGACTTCGGGCGGTTAGGTAAATGGCCGGAATCACAACGAGTAAAAGTGGAGATGGAGATGGGATAATTCAAATTAGGAGCACATGGCGAGTTTTGTCTCAAAATGTGGTTTGATCTGAAAGTAAGCAGAGTCACTGATCAGGTAGACTGTAACAATAGTGTCCATATTCGTAGGCTGCACTGACTGTGAAGTGAAGCTGGTAGCCATTGACGGATATCTTAGATAGAATTGCGTGCTCTTGACCATCTGTGGCATTTGTATCTAGGAGGAACCTGATTATCGGGCCTTGGACCGATTAAAATAAGGGTATGATGGATCCCTCTTTTGGAATTAGTGTGCCTGAATCCGGCATGGAATTGAGGACATAGAACAGATTGTTTCCACTGGGAGCGGACGATTTCAGTGTTGACTGAGTGATTAGAAAATTTCAAGACGAGGGTTTTGACATCTCGACCGCCATGTCTCGGGGAACGTGATGGTATGCCATCCCCCTCGGAACGGCGGAGTCCTTGAGGGTTTGAAGGAGGGCTGATATATCAGCTGTAGAGACAGGCGGTTATTCAGCTGTGGAGATCTGAAATGCGGTAGGTTGTGTGATTCAGTTTGACAAGAAGAGATAGGTAGCAGCCAGCAAGTAAGTCTCCAGGTGGTTGGCCATGTTGAGAGAATCGGTGATAAAATTTCAGTCGGTGGAAAGCAGACAAATAACCGAGTAACTTTTTGGGGCACAACACCAACGAATTGAGCAGCCGAGCAATTTTAACCGAGAAGTGTACTTGAGAGTGGTGATCTCTCCACAGTGTTCGAGGGATATCCGTCAGGACTCGGTCAGTTGAGAGCTTACTGATGACGGGTGCTAATGAGAAATTCCGAGATTTCTGATATATCCTGCCAGCTCGGTGTATTTTGTTGTCTAAGGTTTTCAAAAACTTATCATGGCGGGAGGCATCAGGGTGAGAACTCTTAATTGAGGGAGCACGGTAAGGAGAGGTCAATAGTTTTTTTGGTAGAAAATATCCCAAGTGCGTTCTGTGTTTGGTGAGGTTGTAGCGACCCAGTCACCCATATACCTGACTGTTCAATTCACAGTTGCTCAATGGATCTCAAGGCTTGTCTTTTTTCTCATACGCACAAACACGTCGCATTAAGCTGACTCATCGGACATCGATTGCCTGCACCGCCTGGTCAGCGTAGCAGCCACCCATGTGCCGACGCGCCCACGTATACGCACTGGGGCCTACATAAAGGGAAACCGAATCCAGTCAGGACACAGACTCGCGCGCGTGCAGGGAGAAAGGCGTCAGCCAAGCACTCCAAGTCTACGGACAATCATGGAACACGTGTAGCAGCCAAACTGCGGAGGAAACACGTTACCGCCGTCCGGACTTTCACCAAGGAACTCTCACATACGATAAGCTCCTTTTTGACTTGCTATCATTTCGCATTGTATTTATTTTTATACGCGTTGCAACCCTCCAATGTCCACCATACTAAAAACATCTATCAGTGCACATACACCTTCTAATTTGTATTAGGGCTATCGCCACCTGTGCATTAAAAATTGGTGGTTGTCCGTGGACTTGTGGAGAGATTGACGTCCTGCTCCCTGCGCGCGCGAGTCTGTGTCCTGACTGGGTTCAGTTCCCCTTTATGTAGGTCTCAGTGCGTATGCGTGGGCGCGTCGGCACATAAGTGGTCGCTACGCTGACTAGCCGGTGCAGACAATCGATGTCCGATGAGTCAGCTTAATGGGACGTGTTTGTGCGTATGAGAAAAAGGACAAGCCTCGCGATCCAGTGAGTGACTGTGAGTTGAACGGCCAAGCATGTGAGTGACTGGGTTGCTTCAAGATAAAGAAGTCGCTCCAGTCCGGGAGGCCAGTAAGGATTCAAAAAGCCAGCAAAGTATCTGGAGTCTGGAGGTGGGAGAGGGAAGAACTAGGAGAAAAAGTTTCGCTATACCTGACTGGGTTGCACGAAAGGACGCGGTGGTCGCCACCTGGAAGGCATGGACCAACTGCGGCCGCGGCCAGATGACCCTCATTTAAAAAATGAGGTCTAAGATATGTTGGCCACGATCTGAGGCCAACCCTCTACACTAAGTTAGGGAAGCAGCAAGGCGTAACAAGTAGGGCTTAAAAAGGGAGACCAGGAAATATCCGGTACCCAGCACGAATTTAGACGATTGGGGAAGGGCATGTGCACTGGAGATAATACGAGGCAGATCAGCTATAGAGCGGGGGGAGAGGGCGATAGATACCACCTACTGGTATAGGGCGTTTGGTCTGTACTATGGAGGCAGTCTCTGGAATCCCTTCTAGGCTGGAATCAATAGTAGGGTTTGCAAGAAGTTCCGACTTGGAACAAACGGTAAAGCAACCAAACCTTGAGTTACCCCTGTCTGAGCGAAGAATATTATTATCTGGGATTGAGACAGCCACGTCCCGAGTTTCAAATGAAAGCCATGTTTTGGTCACACAAACCCGATTTGGTCGTGCAGTGGCGATAATGACACGGAGGGTATGGACTTTTGGCAGCAGCGAGAGGGAGTTAAACGGCTTCACTTTTGGGCCCACTGGCGAGTACACCATATTAATTAGGAATACACTAAGCTCGTTTACGGTGGAGTTCGGTGCTTTGGCTAAATTGGTGGGACAGGTAAGAGCATATGAAGTAAAGTTGACTTGACGTGCGTTCGAAATGGGCCGAAGTGCTTTCACCACTCGGGAAACGGGTGAGTAACGTGTGAAGTATGTTTGAAACCACGGTAGAAGGAAAGTGTGAGGTTCATTATGGGATAGGGAATGTCTCTGTTAGGGTGGTATACATTTAGAAGGGTTTCATAGTTGGAAAGGGTTTTGGGACATGAAGTCATTTGCATTGATGAAAGGTGTGGAGAGTGTTACGGTGCATGAAGAGGCAGTGGGTGTGGAGAAAGGGAAGCACCTGAGAATAGTCTACAGTTGGGACGGGTGTGGGCGAGAAGGATGGTCTGAGCTGACCGCCGATATTTGTGGATGTGGTGTTTCACCAAGCTCGCGGAAGGTATGGCTTGGTGTACTTCTCATGTATTTGTTGGGAGGCCGGAGCAAATCCATTTACCTCGTGATGAACAAGGGTTGTGAGAGGTGCCGCACCAGGAGGGAGTCCTACTGGGATGATGAAGGCGCTTGCAGTTTTCACGGATGGTGAAGCAGAAAGCCCATTTGCAGCAGCAACTTGGGGCTCATGGATTTGTAAGGCTATAAAGTTAGAGGCTGCTGAATAGTTTGGTGTGGAATAAATGCTGGGAGTGATCACTGAACGCTGAGAGTCGACGGGTACTATGGGAGCGATGACGCAAGTACTGGCGGTTGATGGGCCAATAGGTTCAGGTAACCGTTTGGTAAGCTGTCTTCGCGTTCGAGTACGGGCAGCCTTAAGTTTCCGGTTTGTAATTTTTTGGTGGAGAAGAGTCTGGGATGTGAACGGACGCGCGGCAACATTTGCATCCCGGAATTGCACTGTTATTGGGCAGTACATGGATGGTTTCAGCTTTCGGAGCCGTCGAGCAGTGATATGGTGTCCAGCATGCCATATGTAATCACAGTGACAGTTCTCATATGCTCAAGCGAAGTTCGATGAGTTGCGTTGAGTATTAGGACCTGATGCCGGCATTCGATGAGTTGACTAATCTCACACGCAAACGTATCAATGAGAATGAGAGCTCCTTCTAGGTTGGTTGGATCGCATGTTGCATCAGGATTTAGGAGACCGAACGGTTCGAAAGGAGGACATTTCATTTTCTAATTTATGCATAGGTGATCTGAGAATTTCCAGTTATTTCAGAAACTGAGATATTACTGGTAGATGCCAGAGAATAGTGTTCACATTTTGTAGAGGGAAAGATATGTCAGTTAGTGCTGCTGAACAATCTGAGGTTGCTTGGGGTACCGCATTTGCCGGCCTTGAAAGTTTAGGGGGTTGGGAGTTGGGTCATCTGGCTATGAGTCGCTTCTTTGAACATACTGGGGAGATAGCTGTCGCAGATTCGCAGTCTAGCAACCGCTTTGAAGGGGAGGACGGGAGCGGCGTCTTAATGAGCTATGTCGGAGCAGGTTGAGGAATAATTGATTCGAGGGGAAACGGTTGCGAGAGCTCTAGGGTAGTACGGAAAATCTAGATCGTATTGCGAGGGTCACAGACAATCTTGGCTACCTATGTGAGCTGGTAGCTTAGATGGGACTGTGGAAGCACGGACAATGGCCGCAAGTCGATAGGGACGATTTTGTAGATGAGGACTAAACGTGCTGGGCAAACTGTGGGCTAGCACTGACAAGACTAGGCCTACTGAAGAGGGACACCTGCTGGCTTTCGTGATCACGGCTAACTAGGGGACCACAGTTAAAATAGTCACCTAGTATACAAAAGATTAGAGACCAATGAATGAGCTGGAATCCAAAAGAGGTTTCGACAACACCCGACTTTGAAATTTTGGTTTCGCGTCATTTCCGTTTGGAGGAGACTCAACGAATATATCTGTCATGCAATGTGAGAAAAAACCAGAAGACATCACGCGGATAGATGCCAAAAAGAATTGGGGTACCTGATTGTCTTCAAACATGTCCT